AATGTTGACAGCAGTGATTCAGAAGAAGAGCAAAAAGAACTTTCGATGGCGTTTGTAAAAAGGAGTTTGTCTACCATAACTGAAATAATGGATGAATTCATTGAAAATGATCCGAATTTTGACAGGAGCTCAAAAGTAAGACGTGGTGTTAGAGATGCTCTATCCATTTATGAAGAACTTTTAAGAGAACAACGCAAAAGAAAAAGGCAAACAACATTAGATGCTTTTGTCACAAAAAGGCAGAACACTGAAAACGTGGAAGGCTAACTAAATATGACTGACTTAGAATTTTATTTGTTTTTTTTAAGAATATTCGTTTTGTTATTTATATTTTGTTTTTATTTTTGCAAGAAATAATGTGGTATTAATTTGGGCTTTAAGAAATAAATGTTTGGTTTTATTTTTATTAAAAAAACATATTTTTTAAATTTAATACCTAACCAATTTCCTAGCCATCTTCCCCTAACCCCAATATTTACATGTAAAGATAGCCTCGTTTAGCGCTGTTTCGCATTACGCTCTACTTTGATGGAACGTATCCCCCGCGTTAAGCGGGGTCTTACTGTACTTTCTCTTTAATTCTATTAAACAGACATAATTTCTTGTTTAGTTACAAAGTTCCACTGTTCATTTCCTATAATTGCTGTGTTGAAAATACCGACTAATTTGTCAATCAAAATGTTTTCGTTTCCAATAACCTCTGGGTCACTTTCTTCACTATCGGAAGCGAATTATAATGACAGGAACTTAATTTAAATCATATCAAAGATGGAGTACATCGAGATGAAATACGACACTTAGTAAGGAATTATAAGGCAAATAAAATAAAAACATCTGCCCTGAAAGATAAGGATAGTGCTGACAGATCAACTTCCAATCCGCAGCGTGAAATTGATAAACAGATTTCGGATTTCAAAACATACTTTCGCTTTGTAGATACAAATTACATATTAGTAAATATATATCGGAAATTCTATTTGACATAATCGAAAGTTCAAGCTTATTTTTATGAAATTGGTCTAACAGTCTGCAAAAAATAAAAAGTCGGATCCAATTCAAAGATTAAGGAACAACGCAATCTGCAACATTAACTGAATTAGATAATTTTAGCTTAGCTCATACCTCCGTTACACATTAAACGCGCATGCGCACAAACATATTCACAGCCGTAAAGGTCTTACGTGCACTCTTAAACGCCTGTGCGCATGCGTGAACGCGACGCATGAGCAGAAAGTTTGTAGCTTTGAGGTCCGGGATTATTGGTGTCCGAATTAACGACTTTTGACTGTATTTGTTTTTCAAATATAACATGGAAGAAAATCCTTGTCCACACAAATAGGTTGTGCCAAAAGGCAATATAAATTCAACAGATTTATTTGAAATGCCTTTGAATTCTTTTTTTCAATTTAGCCAAAAGTTAACGAGTGTGTTATTTTTGAAATCTTCAGTTAGAGTTCAATCACAGAAAATTTCCATCAATTGTTTTTTTTCTTCACGAGGTTTCCTAAATTTAATAGTTAAAAATACTTTGTTTCTTTACGTACCATTTATTTTTCTCTTGAGTACTACCAGTGGTATGCGTACCACCGTTTGAGAATCGCTGTTCTACACCATATATACACACAAAAAAGCTACAATCTGAAGAATTAACAGGAGGCGAGAACGGAAGAATGCGATGTTTGTTCTTTCTGAAATGGAGGGTTTATTGCAGAAAGAACCATTTCTCCAATGAAGAAAAGAGAAACTAGTTTGTTAGACAATGAGATCTTCCCGAGTTCAAGATATGTAGATCCAAAACACTGAATTTTCTTGGATCACGAACAAATTAAGAAGGCAAAGAAAGCCACCTATGAACTTTCAATAAGAATGAAGTTATTTTCAGAACAATTGGAGTATTCAAATCAAGACAGTCAAACTGCAGACATTGCAACTGAGTGTCTATCAGTGTCTTTCAGTGATGAATTAGATTTTGAAAAATATTTTGGGATAATATTTAAAAGGCTAAGGCAAAGAGAATAAAAATAAAAAACCAAGAGCCTTTATATATAAATATGAAAAAATACAAACAAGATTTCTACATGGCCTTTGAAGAAATTGACTTCTTTTAGAACTTATAAAAATCCATCTTGAAAAGTTAAAAGAAGTAGCCCTAATAGTAACAGCTCTTCCTCCTACTCAAGTCAGTGTGGAAAGACTCTTCTTAGCTCTAAAGTTTATCAAATTGGATCTATGGTCCTCCGACAAAGAAGATCTTTCTGAAGCTATACTGGTCCTTAGAAATAACTAATGCCAGTTTTTCCATTTCATAATGAATACTAGTTAACATATATAATTTACTAAGACATCAATTTTTTTTCTGTAGCATCTATTACTTCTTTTATATTAAAAAAATAAGCTGTAACCTATATGTATTTGTTTACACATACATATATGAGGGAGTCGGAGTTGATCATTTTCCCTACCAACTCCACAGCCCTGCTTAGTAGCCATTATAAGTGACCCGTTTGTAGGAATTAAATGCATATGGTCGACCGTTGGAGGATATTTTTTATTCTTTGTGTTTCACTGAAGACAGGAAAATTTCTAAATAAGGCAAGTGAATATTTCCTTTATGTAGTGCTAATATGAATTTCCTTTTTTATGTTATTTGATTTAAAATGTAGTTTACTGAGATTATATACTCTTTGTTGGCTGCTTCGGCTGATCTTTGGAATATGGTAACTGGTAGTTTGGCGACATTATGGAGGCGATAAAGGTTACTACCTAGGACTTTGGTAATAATGTGAGAAGTACTCAGTTCCGATTACGCATTATTTTGTGTGAGGGAAATGAGAGATCATGAGATATGTCATGTGACATTAATGGACGAATTACAGTTCTTTAATCGGGAAAGGGGAGAAATCTGGAAATTTTCTGTTTAGCTTTATTCTGTGTTGTGTGAAACAGTGTTGGTTCATTTTTGGATCCCATGGCCATATCTAAAGTGAATTCGAAATGGGTATTTAAAGGATTGAAAGGGGTAGTAGTAAGTGTTTTTTTAAGGTTGTACAAGATAGAAGTAAAGATTGCTTATTAAGTTTTATTAAGTCTGTTTGGAGGATGAAGGTTTTCAACATCTTGCTGTGAACTATAAGTATGATTTTTAAAGATCCTGAAACAGGTGCACATACGATTGCTTTTTATTTAGCGGAGGAAATAAGAAAAGTGTATCTGCCACGTAATCAAGATTCTGAAGAAGATTAGGTAAGTTAGTATTTTTAATTATTTGAGGATATTATTTTTATGCATTGTTCGAAATGTAAGGAGTAAATAAAGTAATATGGTACTATTGGAAAATTGTTATTAGCAATGATTTAGTTTAAAGTAATTAGGATTGTAAGCTAATTTTTATTCATTTAATGTATGTGCTTATTTGTATTTTAAGTAGTGTTTTTGAATTTAATTATATTTTTAATTAAATGATAGTTATTTTGTGAATTATATGTTTGTATGAATTTGGTATACGTTTGAGTGGAAGTAAACGTGCATGGAAATAATTTAAATATTTGACACTAAGTATTTGTAATGTTTGCGGTATGAATTCATTGGTGACGTTTATAATATAATAGATAATTTAGAGGTAAAAGTTTTTGGATATTTTATTTATTTTATACGTGGAAATGTTCATCTTTGGAAATGGTATATACTTTTTCGCGATCAGGTAATTTCATATATGTTCTTTTTACCGGATTTAAAGATTCAGAAAATTGTCATGCATTTTTGTGAAATTTTTCTAATTTATGAGAAAAAAGCAGTGTACATGGATATAGTGAAGAGTGTGCGCAATGCCATTTTTGTGCAACTCTGGGATGTTTTTTTAAGTAAAAATAAGTCGACATGTACATGGTTTATGTGTATGTGCTATTCTGAAAAACGCGCAAGGAGTTTGCGATTGTGCACTTTTTCTCAATTTTGCAGTTAATATTTGTCATGATTAAGCAGTTTTGTTACATAAAATTTCTAGCATAAGTGTAATTCGGCTAGTAGATTGTTGGAAAAAGTGTTCAGTAAATAAAAAGAAAAGAAACATGTCTTTACTTCGTGAAGACAAAATGGCGGCGAAAAAAAAATAGAAGTTTGCTGTAGCAGAGTTGGTCGCCAAAAAATCGCCGAGTTACCATAATCCAAAGATCAACCGCTGCTTTTTTGACTTTTTAAGTGAAAATAGATCGATGTGTACATGGTCAAAGTCAAGGCAATGGGCAATGCCAAGTTTGTGCAATTCTCTAATGTTTTTTTAAGTAAAAATAGGTCGATATTGCCACTATACAAAGCCAAAATAGTAAGTTAAAGAATTGCACGAACTCGGTATCCATGTACCGCCCAAAAATCATCAATTTTCGTCAAGAAGCGTTTATAAATATAATATTTTTACCACTCTTATTGCATCTAACAAACTAGACAAAGCTGCAATGGCATTCAAAGAACAGGTTCAATTTTCACATTAAAAATTATATTGATATACAGATATTCAAAATAACTTATTATTCGGATTAAAAATATAGATTAATATTAACGGTTGGGCTCATTAAGTGTTAAATTCTGCTAGCACGTCTATTCTTTTTTTTTTTTTTTTTTTTTTTTTTGTACAGGAGTGGACCCTGAAGGTTCAATATTTATATTAAAAGGAAAAATAAAAATCTTGAATTTCGAAATTTGTATTATCTTTAAGCTAAATGAATTGCAAACTAAATTTCGCGAGCACAAGAAAAATAACAAAGAACCCGACCTCAATTCAAATTTAGCTTCTTAGGGCGAGAATGACTATCTGACTAAGGCGAGCTCAATATGTCATATGCTACGAGCTAATACACAATTACTTTTTCAAATCAAATTTTACAAAGGAAATGATGACAAAAGAAAGGAAAAGTGTCAAAACTGTCAAAGTGAGCCTCGATCAAGCAAGTTATGATAAGAACTGCATTATTAAATAAGTCAAACATAAGCTTTATTAATCTTACCATATAATTAAACCAATTACTAGAAATCAGACTGTCCTTAGAAGAGAAATAAAGTATGAAAGTCACTCAGACTACGGTATCACATTAGTAAACAAATCAATTAATAAACACACCATCCAATACTACAGATATTTAGTGTAAACAGACGCTACATGCATGTTATCTTTCAGATTGTAGAAGGTTCATTTCATAACGTTTTTTACGTCTGGTTAAAACTTATGTTTAAAGCAAACACTAGATGGCGGGCGTTACATGGCGTTTGGGATACGGTTCGGAGAACAGCCTTGGTTGCGCCAACTTGGCTCTTTTTAAGGATATGGGCGACATTTCATTATGCCAACGGAAGTAAATATGATGTGGGGAATAGGTGCTAGGAAGAAAAGTAAAATACATGAGGAAAAACGGGATTAAGATGTGTTTACATTTGTTTGGTATCTGATTGCTAATTTGGTTCTGATATGTTGCTAAATTAGCATTAAAAGTCGAGTAATGTTCGTCTATTGCGAAAACGCAGAGCAATTACTTTTCGATCTGATTTTATATATGTATTAATATATCACATTCTTGCTCATATGATCTACATATATATCAGATAACTAGCTACTTTTGACATTTCTGGATGTGTATTATTTTACAACTTTTTCTGCTTTGAAAACCCAAGTATTGAAACATTATGTGTATGCTTGTGAAAATATTATTTCAGATATTCTCGTATAACTAACTATACTATAATCTCATATTATTCAGTTCTCATATAACTACGATAGAAATATGCTTCTATTATTTACTTTAAAAATGCAGTATTTGATAGCCTTCCACATAGTAGCCATTCTAGAATTAGTTCTGTAATGTTATATAATGTTAATTGTCTTATGCATTATTTTGTCTAAATATTCATTTTCATAAAGAATATATAATCAATGTAGAGAATGCGAGTTCAATATATTTTAAAGACAGAGATAATAAACAAAAAATAAAAGGGAGACTACAAATGCAACCACATAAAAGTGACCATATTCTAAAGAAAATTAATAAACTCAAAATGATGTAAAGCCATACCCCATGCCACAAAATTCGCTCAAGTATTGCTGAGTAGTAAAGCAGAACATATATATCATGAGTGCATTTTTTATATCTAAAATAAAATCTGTAACTAGTTGCTGATGAAAAAGTAAGAAGACAATTTTTATGGATAGAAGTTTATGTAGCCGAGTATTGAAAGTCTCGACACTGAAATAGCAATTTATATAATGTATGAAAGTGAAAAAAAAAAGTGTTGTTTTTTGAAAACTTCAAAAATCTGAATAATTTTCAGAACATATTCTTAAAACAAATTAAGAATATACTATTTCTTAGAAGTTATTTTGATTCCATATAATTTAGATGCCATATACTTTATGTACGGATCAAGCATGGCCAAACTGAGACTCGGAATTCGTAATTTACTCCCGTTGTGTTCATAATTTACTCAGGTTGTATTCATAATTTACTCACGTAATAAGCAACTTGCGTTGTTTTGCTTTTGAAACGTAATTGTCATTTGAAACAGAATTTGTGCCTTTTTAATAATTACTAATTTAATTTTTTGAAATCACATTGTGCATATAATAATTTCAAACTATGCCTTATTTGCTAATCTCTGATAAGTAAAAACAAAAGTCAAACAGTGCCCATATCTGTAACTACCGTGTTGATATTACTCTTAAAATGTGTATTGGTCATCAGCGTAGAAGAAAAGATAAATGTTTTTTTATCCTTTTAGCATCTGCATTCATAATGTACCTCAAATCGTACAGAATGCCCTATAAATATCTGTACTGTGATTTGCATTTGGAAATACGAAACATATCTAATAATCCAAATTTCCAACAAATTAGTTGTTATGTGATGCAGTAGTAAGGTTTGATCCCTATATCGATCCTGAAGTGGGCTGAAGGCCCACGCAATAGCAAAAAACTAACTATAATAAATAACTTTTCTATAACTCCCAATAGTTTGACAGCTTACAGTCTCATTCCTCCCTTTTTTTTTTTTCATGCTTTTTACCATTACTATGAGGAGATTGTATAGATTAAGAGTCAAGTAAAAATCCATAGTTCCGTATTTTCAAATTATTGCCTTATTTTTACATTATTGTAAACAGCAGTACGTTGCTTCTTTTATTTTCAGTTTACTGCTATTAAAATGTGTTTTGAATTATAACCGTAAAAGTAAAATTGAAAATCTGAAGGAAAAGCTTTATTTATTAGTTATAAAAAGTAAATTATAGAAAAGTTTACAATTCGTACATCCAAGGAATATGCTTCCTCGGATACTGAGCAAAAGCAGTAACAGTTATTTTGGTACTGTTCTGTTATCAAGGGACTGGATTCAGAAATGTATGAACGTGTCTTGGTATGTATGTGCTTATATGTGTATTTGTATGCACACATATATTTGTACTTATGCATACAATGAACACATACATGCATACATAAACGCATACATACATTACTGAACTCGATCCCGATAACAGAACAGTACCGCTGTTTCTTTATTCGTGTAAGTAAGCATTATTGTTGAAATAAGAAACCCTTGGCAATTTACTTAAAATATTTCTTTTTTATTGAAAAGCTTTGCTAATTTTGAAACATGATAAACACCTAATTGTGTTTGAATATTTCTGAATTGTAACATGCAGTTCTTACTGACATGATGTCTGATGACTTTGAAACAGAATTAGCTAATACTACAGGAATATAACTGCTTATGCAAATATTCTTAAATCTTTGTGAAACTTGTCCAGTCTTTATGAACCAACATGTGCAAAAGATCATTAACACCAACAGGTGGTTTCTGGAGTTGGTTGCATAGTATGATTTTTACTGTTTTCAGCTTTTCTTAATTTTTAGTATCTACTCAACATTTTGTGAACTTGTAAGTTCTGTGCAATAAAACATTTGTGAATTTATTTTTGTTTTTAGTCAAACTAAAGTTGTAACCTGCATAATGATAATACAGTTGCACAGTTAACATATTTTCGCATCATTTCGGCAGTTCTTCGGAAGGATATTAAGTGCGACAGATATTAATTTTTTTCATTTTTTGTACTTTGCAACATTATTAACTTCATTGATAAATCCGTCAGTCAAATTCAAAAGCGTCTAATTTTTCATTTTTTTAATAGAGGAGACTAAACACACGTCTTGCACGCTCGTATGAACAGCCTGAATATTATAAAGAAAGTATTTAACAGTCTAACTTATTTAAGCCTCCACATTCATCACCTTCTAACTGTAAGTAAGCTCCATAATTCTTATTTCCTTATATTAATCACTTTCGTATACTGAGCTAATGATGCATTATCTTAGTTGTTAAAATTACTTCCTGAAAGTAGATATTTTGATTCACTTTTATATTATAATTATACAAGAAAATGTCTTTGTCCAATCAATCTGAATGATGGTTGGCGGAACCTAGGTACTCTGCTATCATGTTAAGGTTCAATGGAGATTCCTACTAATTTAGACACTAACTAGACTTCCTAGTACACTTTTAACCTAACAATTGTAAACATTAAAAGCAATATCATTTTACCTTTGAGTGTAGTCGTGTTTTCGGGCGAATGTTGCGGGTTACGTTGGCTCTACGCGAGAAAGGACTACAGGAAAAGCCTGTGACTGTAGCTGCCCTTAATCTATTCCCCATAGAAGCACGGAACCCCAATTTTAACTACTCGCGATAGATCATAAGGAATCTAAATTTTTTTATCATTTTTATGGGCGAAATTAATTTAATATTTAGTCCGATATTTTAGTTTGCCTTTAGGAAAGTATTCTTTACGTGATATCTATGCTCATCACTCTTCATATTTAGAGTGCAATACGTCCTAGCGTGAATACCACCCACATATTTCTGAGACATTAACTCTAGTACCAAATTTTACCTCTCCAAAACGACCACATACACTGCCCCTGGACCCACATGCAAGAGAATTATAAATATTTGGTAAATCCAAATATTTATCCTCTTTGGTAAAAACTATGGTAAGCCATATCATATGAGGTAAAAGTTATATAAACATGGATATCTGTGGTATAGATGAATCATGTGGGAAGTTTCCTTAAGCCACCTGCAGTAAGCCATTGTACATGATGCTTAATTTTCAGATGCCGAAGTGCTATCAGTCAACATTCAGGTGAAAATTAAGCACATAGTCCTTTCTAACTTTGTCGATATAAGAAAACTCAAGCCAATGAAAAGAAAACTTATCACTGTATGACATGCAAATTCCAGTGAAAACGTGTTTAATTTCAAATAGTCCAATTTATAACTTATTACTTTACTTTATTACTATTAGCTTTGTTACCCTACTTGATTTGAAACTACCCTACTGATTAATTTCAAACGCTTTGATTCCTCTGTGAATTGCTATTAACTTAGTCACTCTACTTTTAAAGTGACTCTTTCTATTTCCAGATTTTACACTGGTAGGCAAAAAGTCTAAAGCTGTAATGAGCATATGGTTTACTCGTCTACTTCTCGTAACTTCAAAATATTGCATATTCTAATGAAGATCCAGAAGAATTTCCAGTTAATTGGATGAAGTCATATATCTGTGGGTATAGAATATTGACCGAAAGGGGAAAAAACACTATTTATAGTTCAATGCTGCATCTAAGATAATGCTAAGAATTGAGCCACTGCAATAAACAGTACAGTACTAAGAACCCTTAAGAAGAAAAAAATTCCAATAATGATTAGATCTTACCGAAGAACTTGTACTGGTGTTACTGCCTTTTAAGATTTCAGGAATTAACTGAAACTAATGCTGCTTCCAATTGTTGTTTTAACTAAATAAATGCAGTGGTAATCATAACTCAAAGTTATAGTAATATGCTAGTAAAAATTACTTGTAAATGCAGACAAAATTCCGTATGTTGTAAATAGCTTCACGGAAAAATATCCCTTTTTTAATAACTGTCCATAATTTTTTCATCCAAAACTGATGTGATGTAATGAATCAAATGAAAGCAAATTACAGTAAACGGTGATTTGAAACAAACGCAAACATTTTATTTAAAATTAAATGGATGAATTGTAGGAGCTATCAATGTTAACACATTTCTAATTATATATAAAGAATATTTGATCTCTTTTCTAATAGGAAAACAAGTTTAAAATGAATTAGCGACTAAATATATTCGAATGAACTTTACTTAGTTTGTCTACTTAAATATAAATGATCTCATCCCAATGGAATCAAGTAATTTAATTATTTATTTAAGGAATATTTTAATTATTTTGCCTAAAACAATTTTATAACAAGTGCAGTAGATTAAATTTTAAACAATACACTATTTGTACTCCAAACATTCACATGAAAATGCGTCCTAGTTAATTAGAAGCTATGGTATTAGTTGCAGGATTACACGAGTTCTGTACAGCTGCCATGTAAAATAACTTTAATTCAGTGCTTTAGCTGTTCATTTGTAAATATTTCGCCTATTTATAGAACTTAAGTTAATTACAGTTTTTAGTCTAGTCTTACAATCATTTTCTTTTAGGACTAATAAATTGAGGTCCGATTTTCATCTTTTTGCAAAAGAAGTCAATCGTTGGTTTTGTTTACCTTGCTCTAAAAACCGAAATTATTTGCATTACCTATAAATGATGCAATTATCTTTAAAGTAATTTTAAAGGAGCAGTAGTTTCATGAACCATAAGTATTAAAATATTTATTAAAAATATCAAAACTCTTCTTAAAATTATGTAAGTAATAAAATATTTTCCCCAGATTTTCTACAATATGATGCAAAAATACATTTTACAGGATGTATAAGGAAAACTATATAAATTTAGTTATTCATCGAGAGATTCTGTTACTTTTACGATATTCTCAGCTTGCAATAACAGAGGTTTATCAATCATGGAACCACGGAAGTTAAATGCTCCTTTACCGTCCTTCTGATGTCGCTTAAATAGTGTTATCAGTTCTTTGGCCCATGCAATTTTCTCAGGAGATGGATAAAAAGCTTTTTGTACAACAGTCACTTGGCTTGGATGAATAACTTGCTTCCCAGTGAAGCCCATGTCTGCGCCTTCTTTAGCAGATTTAGCTAGACCAATCAGATCTTTATAATTAATGTACACCATGTCTATCGCTTGAAGCCTAAAAGCTTTTGACGTAAAAACAATAATCTGTCTTGCAGTAAGAACTTCTACAGCATCTTCGCTACGTGTAGCACCAATATCAGCGCAGAAATCATCTGATCCAAACACAAGACCCTCGAATCTAAATATACTATCTTGGGAAAGGTTAACTGCTCTTTCACATATCTTTCTCAGATCTAATAAACCTTTGGCAGTTTCAATGAAAAGTATAAGGCTTATTTTATTCTGAAGATTTAGTGACTTCCAATGCACTTTAAGTGTGTCATTTATCCACTCTACATGCTTTACACTATCTACTTTTGGCACCATTAATGTATCAGGAATTTTCTTAGATGTCAAAATCTCATCCAAATCGTCACCTGCTAAACCACTGTCGAGAGAGTTAATTCTGACTGCAAATTCAGTTTTACCAAAATTATGAGTGGAAGCAATTTCACTTATTACACGTCGAGCTTCAGATTTCTTGTTAACAGCAACGCCATCTTCGCAATCAAGTACAGCGCAGTCTAGTTTAAGGCTATGCAACTTTTCTATTTTTCTTCTGTCATGTCCTGGAACGTAAAGTATCGCTCTACGTGGCCGAATAGTATCATAAGAATTTTCCCTAGCGGCGATAGTCGTGGTATTTAATGTAGAAATAAGAGAATTCCTACCTGCATTCGAAGTGATCCAATGGCCCACACAAACACGGTAAAATCGATACATAATTATCCAATTTTCGAACAAACAAAACTTTTCGTAAATGCTGTTTCTTTTTATGTAACACTTAACAACCACAACGATCACAAGCTAATATGGCGTTTAAATGGCCGTAGTCACTGCTCATGCGCTAGACTTAGTACCTCCTTTTGCTACGGGGTTCCATTAATGCGAGCAGGAGAACCGCACCCTCTAAAAGAGTTTGGAATGCGTGGAATTAGGGAGTAAAGTTACTTTCTTGCAAAGCATACAAATTATTTTTAATCAGAGTGTGCATTGTAGAATTTTCTATACATATTTTGTGTGAAAAAACTAATATTAGTTTGAGGTGAATGCAATTGTTTTAATAAGACTACTTCAATGCAGCATATATCGGTTCAATAGCGGAGCCGCCAGGGACAGATATCATACCCTCTCTGGCGGATCGGCCGGTGTTAACTTTTAACATCTTAAAAGAAAATTTGATTTCTCCAGCACTCTCGCAACAGGTAGGAATTTGTTAATGTGTTCGTAGTATAAAATCATTTTCGTTATTATAATTTTTTAATAACATATATAAATTCTGTCATTATTAAATAACTTTTCGTTTTGAGTCCATCGATGTGCATGATTACAGTATTCATAAGACCTAAGTTTTATACATAGTTTTATAAACGGCTTTATCTCTTTTGATCATATTTGTAAAAAAAGTGCGATTACTGTGTGCATATCTTTTTTTATATCTTAAATTGTAGAGTTTTCCCATCGAACATTTGACAGCTAGGCTTATAAATACGCTTGTAGGTGTTTTGAATTTCATTGCATAACTATAAATGGTGGTCTTATTATTTTGAAACAAATGAAGTGCTTTACAAAGTCTTATACACTTCTATCAGTTAATTTTTGAGTAGAATTATTATATGAATTGTTGTAAACCTAAGCCTAAACTGTGTTGATTGTTGAACCCTCTTTTTGCGATTTTTTGTCTTTCAAGAAGTTTTCTAAAGAGTAAATGTTTTTACTTATTTTTAATGGTTTCCGTAGAAGTTTTAGAGTTCTACATAATCAGTTTATTTGAATTTCACTGAATGTTTACTAAAATTCATTGAGAGAAATCTTTAGTACTGTACTCACTTAAGCACATTACCATATAAAGGGGCATTCGGGTATTTAAAAATTCGCGTTTTTGAGTATATGAAATAAGTATAAATGTTTCCGTATTTATATTTCAAGTTGCGCGTTGAGCAGTTTGTTGTGATAATTGGGAGCAGTTTTTACCCAGTTCTTAATTTACAGTAGCATGTTATGTATGTCTTTTAAATATTTTATTTTATAAAATTCAGAACTCTGATTAGAATAGATCATAATACAGCCAAGTTACGTTATCTATGTAAGTTACGTGGTGTAAATAATTTTAATTTTCTAATGCACAATTTATTAGTTACCTATTTCCTGAGAAGTGATACAGCGTATTTAAGTGATATGCTATATATATATGTTTATCAATGAACACCATTTTATTCTGCATTTAACTGAAGTTACTAAAACTATCAGGCGATTTAAATATGTAATGTATTATGTAAGTATTCACATGTTGAATTGTAATTTATTAATTTACTAAATTCTTAATTCTGGCCCACCAGCAGCTGAGCGGTTCTGACCTGTGTACAATTCCAGGTGAATGGGCTGGCTGCATGGCCATTTTCATGGTTTTCTGCATCTTTAATGTGTATATAAGCTAGTTTCGCTTAGAAAGTCCTCCATGAAGGCATCCCTCCTCTTAGGCAGATAGCCCTAGTGTGCTTTGCTATAATCAACCAAATTAAATATCTTATTTAATTCTCTCCGAGTAATAAATTGAGAAATGTAAAAGTAGTTACTGCAGTTTTCAGTTTTTTGTTTAGTCTAGAATATATCATGAAGTACAAGTTGGTATTGAAAATACCTTTTTTTAATTACATTATGCAGTTCTGATAATGCTTTAAAAGTATTTAAAATATTAATGTGCAATTATTCTTTATGCACCGGATACTAGGATTAAACCTATTCGAGTTGGAAGACAAAAATGATTTATCTAATTTTTTTCTCACTGATTTATCTCTCGTCACGTAAAATCCATTAGTTTTTTGGCATTATTAAAATGTTTTAATTCTTTCAGGTATCATATTTAACTTCCAATATGAATGAATTAGACAGTCTTCGCCAAGAAGCTGAAACCCTTAAGAATACCATTCGGGTGAGTATATTTTGTAAATCTGGATTTAACTTAAATTGGGCTGATGCACATAAACATTTGGTTTTCTCAAGCATAATAAGAAATTGGCAGCTTAAAACATATTGCATAATTTTGAACACTTCTGTACATAATTGCAACTAATTGTGATTCTGCTTGCATGTAGTTACGATTTATTGTTACCCATGTTTCACTAAATAAAAATCCTTTCTAGAGAAAAATAATGTAGTAGATAAAGCTATTTATAATGAGATGAGAAGTATAAATTAAATTGTTATTATATATATATGTATATAACTGTAATAGAAAAAGTACATTGACTGTTTTATATGCCCTCTCACAAAAAAGTCTTGTGAAGTGCAGAATTGCCCACTTATTTGGCGCGTTATGTTTGGCACTTTTTACAAGAGTAAGAAGAATTGGATTTTTTTGAATTTCTTTTGACTTTTTAAGTGAAAATACATCGATGTGTACATGGAGAAAGTCAAGGTAGTGCGCACTGTCGAATTTGTGCAATTCTCTGATATTTTTTTTAAGTGAAAATAAATCGATGTGTACATGAATACCAAGTTTGTGCAATTCTTCAAAACATGCCAAGCAGTGAGTGATTCTGCACTTTTCTCTTTTTGATCCATGTTTTAAAACTATAGAAATAAGGATTAGATTGTTTCAAAAGTACATATAACAGATGTATGTCTTTATGAAATATTTTCTTAAAGATATTCCATATATGTGTTACCCATGAAGAAATTACTAAAACATTTTACTGTGGAAAATAGAATCCAGGAACAACTACCGAGAACTCTTGCTCAGTGCAGTTATTTCTGCATGTTAATGCATTGCAAGTAAACTTACATTAAGTCTTGTAACAAATAGAAGTAATTGTAATATACCATCTGTGTAGGGAGAAAATTGCAAGTAGTGTTAAAAGGATAAAAAACCATTAAAATTAATATAAATAGTTAAATATTTATCTAAACAAAATAACAGTTGAAGCAAGTTTTAAGATTTTTCTTTTTCATTTTATAAGATAGCTGTCATTTATCTATATGTTGGCATCTTCCATAACAAGATCAGAATGGAAGTAGAGGCAGAAATTCACAAGACAAATTCTGAAATTTCAGGGCCTAGAATTTGCAATAACAATTCCATATGGAATTATTAACCTAGAATTAGCATAAAGCAAAAATTTTAGTTATTTTCAAGCATAAAAAATACAATATGCATAGATGCATGAAATAAAAATTACAGATATGAAGCAGGAACATTATCAACTAGTATATAAATAAATACTATATATGTTCTTATTTTGGTACTTCTATTCATAAATAAGCCAAATCATTTGAATTTTATATCACTTAGTGGAAGGTGTTTTGATATACTACATTAGGGTGCATGCCTACATCTCCTTTTTTTAAATGCATCATCTCTTACAATTTTTAAGTTAAAAAAAGTATGAAAAGGATGTAAATACTTTTAAATTTACATTGGACATTTGTGTTGGGATTAAAATTATTACTTATTCATTCCTTCTAGCTAAAATCCTGAAATGTCAAGAAAAACAAAGTAGGTTGATCTTTACATTATGGTAACTTGGGGAGTTTTTGGCGAAAATTTGGCAACCAACTCTCCTACAGCAACCCTCTATTTTTTTTTCCCCGCTGCCATTTTGTCTTCACGAAGTAAAGACATGTTTCTTTTCTTTTTATCTACTGAACACTTCTTCCAACAATCTACTAGTTGAATTACACTTATGCTAGAAATTTTATCAAACAAAACTGCTTAATCATGACAAATATTCACTGCAAAATTGGGAAAAAGTGCACAATACCATACTCCTTATGCAACACATACACATAAACCATGTACACACCGACTTATTTTTAATTAAAAAAACATCCCAGAATTGCACAAAAATGGCATTGCGCACACTCTTCACTATATCCATGTACACTGCTTTTTTCTCATAAATTAGAAAAATTTCACGAAAATACATGACAATTTTCTCAATCTTTAAACCCGGTAAAAAGAACATATATGAAATTACCTGATCGCGAAAAAGTATTTTACCCTTTCCAAATATGAACATTTCCACATATAAAATAAATAAAATATCCAAAAACTTTACCTCTAAATCATCTATTACATTATACACGTCACCAACGAATTCATACCGCAACCTTCAACTTTACCAAATTCCTATAAACCAAATTCCTACAAACATAAAATTATTATTTCTATTATAATAATTATTTTATTATATATAATATTTCTATTATAATATTATTTTTATAATATTATTTCTATTATTATAAAATAATAGAAATAATAATTTTATGTTATTATTTCTATTATTAAAATAAATAAAATATCCAAAAACTTTTACCTCTAAATCATCTATTACGTTATACACATCACCAACGAATTCATACCGCAACCTTCAACTTTACCAAAAACAATTATATTATAAACGTCACCAACGAATTCATACCGAACCATTACAAATACTTAGTGTCAGATATTTAAATTATTTCCATGCACGTTTACTTCAACTAAAACGTATACCAAATTCCTACAAACATAAAATTCACAAAATAACTATCATTTCATTAAAATATAATTAAATTCAAAAACACTACTTAAAATATAAATGAGCACATATATTTAATTAATAAAAATTAGCTTACAATCCTAATTACTTTAAACTAAATCATTGCTAATAACAATTTTCCCAATAATACCAAATTCCTTTCCACCTTACATTTAGAACAATGCATAAAAATAATATCCTCAAATAATTAAAAATACTAAGTTACCTAATTTTCTTCAGAATCTTGATTACGTGTCCGATAAACTTTTCTTCTATCCTTATGTCTATCTCGCACAACCTTAAACAAACATTTATTACTACCCTTTTTAATACCACTAAATACCCATTTCGAATTCACTTTAGTTACGGCCATGGGATCCAAAAATTAACCAAGACTGTTTCACACAACACAGAATAAAGCCAAATACAAAATTTCCAGATTTTTTCCCGATTTCCCCCCCTTTTCCGATTAAAGAACCGTAATTCGTCCATTAATATCACATGACATATCCCATGATCTCTCATTTCCCTCACACAAAATAATGCGTAATCGGAACTGAGTACTGCTCACATTATTACCAAAGTCCCAGGTAGTAAGCTTTATCGCCTCCAAAATGTCGCCAAATTACCAGTTACCATATTGTAAAGATCAACCACAAAGTATACTGGATTCATTTAATGAGCTCCACAACCAGCCCTTCCTAGATATTTGAAAATTTATTTTTTAACATAAATAAACAAAATAAAAAAATCAATTATTCTACAACGATAGCTTGCCATTTTATTTTTTAATAAAAGGAAACTAACATTTAAACAGTTTTCCTATTTTTTAGAATGGCTAATATTTTTTCTCTAAGAAATCAAAATGTTTTTATATACCGTTACATGAATGTTTTTATGTAATAGTTCTGCCACTGAAAGAACAATAAATGGGGAAGTGAAAAATGACCCACAGCTTGGCACATTTTTCAAAAATCGCCAACTTGGCCCGCTTTCGCTTCTTTTCTGCTGGAGCACCAAAAGACGCTATGCAAGGGGCGACATTTATAATGGTGAACAAGTAAAATAAATACAAAATAACAGTTGAAGCAAAATTTTAAAAACTGAAAATCCTTTAAAAAAAGCATAATAATTTAAAAAACCAAAAATCGTTAAGAATATGTAGTAAGGTTCAAAAACTTGAAATTGTTACAAAATCCTGAAAAATTAAAATACTTCCCAAAAAAAAAAAAAAAAAAAAAAAAAAAATCCAATCCTTCCAAAAACATAATTTTAAAAACTGAAAATAGTGTCAAAAACATAAGTTTCAAACACTTAAAATCGTTACAAAACACTGAAAAATTAAAATACTTTCACTTAATGTAAAAAAAGACTGTATCCTAAAATCTCCCCCCCTTTTATTTCTTAAAATTATCATTAATGTGGCCCGGGTAGCGTAATGGCAAACCGCACATTGAGTTGATCAATGTTAAACGAATTTCGCTTACAGCGCATGCCCAAAAGAGAATTTGGCGCAATTTTAATAGAAGATAAATACAGCATATGGTTGATATTGTGTTAACTTGGCCGTAAACAGTTCGAGGTTTTAAAACATGTCATGTTTGCTTCATTACTTGGAGTGTAAATGTCGATTGTAAAATACCCAAATTTTCTTTTAAAAAGGATTACAGAACAGGAAACATTACAAGATATATTAGCTGATTATACTTCTGAGGAATAAAAACAATTGAGTATTTACCATACGTTCCATTCATATATACTTTAACAAATTAAGGATTAAATCTAGTTTAAATTACTGAATTAAAGGTCAAATAAATTATTGTAAGTAAATAAAATAGACTGTTGCAGTTGTAAACAGTTGATAAGACCTACATGACGAACAGGCTTGTGTACGGTTGCTTATGCTTAGTCGCAAGTATTTTCTCCCACGCCAGCGGTACACCATTGAGCATGCGCAGTAAGCGAAATTCGTTAACATTGATCAACTCAATGCGGTTTGCCATCAAGCGCCCGGGTATATCGATGTCTGAAACATTGTCTTCATAAAATTCTTAGTCGAGCTTTGGATCTCGTAAAGTGGGGGAATAAATTTTTGCAACATCGGCAAAAAATACTTTAAATAGATCTTTCTTAATGGAGTAATCATGTCGTTTTCTGCACATAAACTTTTAGAAATGAATCGAACATTTCTTCAGTTTGATTCGTAGTATTTCCAAAAAAATGTTAGATTCCTTCCCCACACACCCTCAATGTTGTTAGTATGCTGACCTGTTAACGAGCACACGTATGTCAAACCGTGGTTTACCTCTAAATGCCGAAATCCTTAATCTTCCAAACGTTTATATGAAGTCCAATAGTCGGAAATAATTATGGTGCCAGTCACTCATTTGATTCGGAACCACTCCTAAAAAGCATATGTACACATCTCTTTCAGTTCCTCCAAACACCCATCTTCCTTTCACAGGCCTGCCTGTTTAATACTTCATCTTCCCAAACGTACTTTCATCAACCTTAAAAATCTTACCCACTCCTTTAATCTTTCAACTATCTCTCATCATAACATGAATACATATTTCCGTACAGAAATTATACCAGTCAACTACCGTGTGATTAGAAACATTCTGGTCTTCAATTGCATATTTCTGAGAGCAGCTTCCAAACCACTTTCCCATCACTAACAAAACTTAAACATATCCAAGTTACTCAAACCATACCAAGACCCATTACACTCCTATACACTTCATGTCTTTCCTTTTCGCACCAGACTGATTCCTACAAAACCACCATTTATTGCCTTTTTATCCTTTCTTTCTCTAAATTTCGAACTTTATGCACATTTTGGACATGCATACGATAATCTAGTCAACCCCTCTTTCATGCACCATTACAACACAGCTTTCTTTCCTAAAGCAGGTAACATAGCAAAAAAATCTTTCAGAGTATTCAGTCAACATGCATTCATTCACTTTTTCAACAATACTAATATCATGGAAGCCATTGTAAGTATCCGTAAAAATTTGTATAAAGAAAAATTAATTTACATGAAAAGAAATAATCCACTCTGCTAGGCTCCGTTGAAGAACGAAAAGTGACAAATTCTCAAAGGATTGTTTGAAATAACTATATTACCATCTACACGAATTGGAAATTCTCCATTTAAAGTACATACTGAGCATGCGCAAAAATGCTCCGAAATTCGCGATTCTCCAGAAGCCCAAAATCGGCTCTGATACCACAATTGGAAGACTAGGTGGAAGATGAAAAAAGTGGGAAAGAAAGGAAAAAAAATTGCTTCGAGACCTCTTGCCTTCTCCCACTTGTCCCCCGTGAGTTTAAGTCAGTCTCCTCCAGTTCTATGGTGATAAAGAATCCAACAAAAGAACATGCTGCTTACGTGCCATATATTGGGTACCAAAGCAGAGAAAGAAATAAAATTCATTCTCCTGATTATAATGCTGCTAAGAACTAAGGAATGGAAATGACTTAAAAATCAAAGGAACACATTTTTTGGTCCTATTCGGTTTCAAGGGCCGTAAAAAATTGCCAAACTATTGTTGATGCCAATTCTGCCAAAAATAATTGCGGCAAGAAAGGAAGTATAATAGTAAATAACTATCTAAGATTGATGTTTTAATTTAGATGAAAAGTTAATTTCATATAATACCTTTTTATTATTATAATTTATATGAAAAAAGCTAAACATGACTGAATGGAAGCATGAGAGTAAATAACTATTTCAGATCATTATTATAATTTATATAAAAATTGCGAAACATAACTGAATGGATGCCTGCATCGCTATTTCGCTACCGACTTATCGCTAAAGCATAATTTCATCTTGTTGGTTGTTCAAACGTAATTTTCTATAATGAATGATGCCTTTTCTTTGAAAATATTCAGAAGTGCAGAATCGCTCACTTATTTTGTTTGTCGCTTTTTACAAGGGTAAAAACAATTGGGTTTTACTTTTTAAATGAAAATAGGTTGATGTGTACATAGATAAAGTCAAGGGGGTGCGCAGTGCCATTTTTGTGCAATTCGGGGTTTTTTTTTAAGTGAAAATAGGTCGATGTGCACATGGATACCGAGTATGTGCAATTCTTAAAAACGCATCAAGCAGTGAGTGATTCTGCACTTCACCCAAAATTCTATTGCCGACTTTTCATCATGGGCAATTCCCAAATTGTTAAATCCATAGGATATCAGAAAAGGATTTAAAAATTAAACTAGTGTTTCAATGGCATCTTAAGAAATATAGAACTATATAAACTTATCTGAAATTTGCACGCAATCTGAAATTTGCACGTACGCTAGATTTAGCATGCTGTTAAATGGGCGCGTTTGCTATATTTGGTGCTTTTGCGCATACATTTTCGCTGCAATTTTTTACGGCCCACAAAACAGAAGAGTACCCATTTTTCTAAACAACACAAATAAATTTAACAGTGAAAGAACAAGGCTTTCTTTAGTAATCAAAATCTGAAATAAAGCCACCACACAGAGTGAAAAACTCACTGAAAAGCATTTCTCCATGAAAATGTTCACAGTTAAGTAAAAAAAAAAAAAAACTGCCAACTCGCAAAATTTATTACAAAAGTGCTAACAATCTAAACACGAGGAATCTCTTAACCCCTTCGCGCCAGGTAGCGCAAACGCGTGCTTATCGCGGAGGCTGGCAGTGTCTTACGCGAGCATCTGTCCAGGGCCGGGGGCTTTTTTTGCTATTAAGCCTAAATCCACGAAATTTCCGAAGTATCAACGCATTGTTTAATAATGCTCGATAGAGTATTTAAACGGCTTATGCTTTATAGGTATTTTTATATATACTTTAATTACCTTATTTCTTGTTTAAATGCATCCTTGCACTCGTAATAACGACATTGATGATGATGACATTAATTAAGGATTAATGATGATGAGGACATTTCGGACATCTGTATGCTGATGTACTCGGCATACAGATGTCCAAAATGTCCTCATCATCATTAGATTCGCCAGATTCTTTATGATGAGAATATCTCATAGTTCACTATCACTACTGTCAGAATCTGTTTCAGAATCAATATCTGAAATATTTTGCATCATTTCTGCTATTTCATGCTCTGTTAAACATTTTCGACGCTTCGACACTGCAACGGTAAAAACAGAAAGAATTCACTTCTAACAAGATCTAATTATTTTCTAAAAACTGAACTGCAAACCGAAATACCCAACGCTTTAGCGAAAATAAAACTTCTCTACTTACAATAAACAACTACCACGTGCGAATTTAAAGAGATGTCATAAATCACGCCATTCGGAAACATTTATTTCCCCTTTTGTTTATATAATCAAAAACACGTGTATGTGAGTCGTGCTTCTCTCATTTCGAGTAGAAGGTCTAATGTACATGTATCTGAAACCATATGGACATACAGTGCCATCTTGTGGCAGAAATTATAGTTTTTAAAACATTCTAGGACACTGGCACAAATATGTGACAGTCGGGGCTGAACGGGAAAATGCTCTGGCACGCCTGCGTGTCGGTCGGGAACTGAGTGTGTTCGTTGCTGGCACGTAGACGTGACAGTCGGTTCGAAGGGGTTAATGGATATGCACAAATTAATTTTAAAATATAAACCCAAATTAAATGAAAATGCATCATGAAAGAAATGGATGAAATGGATATTTAAATAATTGAAGATGAGCAATATAAGTTTTAAATTTTCTTTAAAGCTAAGATACATAATTAAAATAACTGAGAATCGAATACAGCCTTTACCTTACAGAACCAATAGACAGTTAGCGACTCTTTAAGTCTTCTTTTGCTACTTCAGTTGAAAAAGTTTTGGCAACACTGTCCGCCAGTACTTATGTGGGGTGTCTGATGCTTGCTCTGGGTCTAACATAAGACTTAACCCAGACTGGGCCAGTGTTTCATCTCGAGGTATGTCGGAGCTGGAGAAGTTAAACTGCTAGGCTTCGTGTTTTCATACCTCCATGGCCGAGACTGCTTAGGTACAGATAACCAGTACATTCACATGTTTTCTTAAGTGAGTAGTCCATCCCTTTTGTATATCTCGTGCTGTAATTTTTTCAATGTCTCTCAGAAAGCTATAGTGTTGATTGTTGTCCCTCATTCCATGCAGTCTACTAACAAAATTCCTTGGCAATCAGAAAACATGGTGTACATGATTTTTTTTTTTTTTTTTTTTTAAGAAAGAGGTGGCTTTGCTTTCTTGATGATATTGAGCAGAGATCGTAACTTTTCATTATTGAAAATGTTGCATGCCTAAAATGAATGCAGCAAAACACGTTTTTGTTGCTTACTCTGCCAAACAGTGCAACCATTCTTGTGGAAAACTTTCTCGTACCATGAATGTATAACCATGGCTAGTTTTTTTGTACCAAAAGGTTAATTTGACAGGCCATCATTTGACTTTGATTTGGAAAGGTGCAGTATCACTGTTAACTGTATTCATGAATATTTGTCTGTATTCAATCTTTTATTAAAAAAAACTTGATTATTATACGATTCTGATTTTTATAGATATGGCTGACTTCTCATACCTTCACAAAAATTAGCAAAGGTTTTTGCATTCAGTGTTATACTGCAGGAAAAGAATGTTTAGTTACCCTACAAATATTAGCAGAATGTAATATGTGCTTCCCATACACAAAATTTTTTAATTGTATAATTGTGAGAGATTTATCAAGTTAATAAAATATCCTGTTTTCAATATTTTTAGGATGCAAGAAAAGCTGCCTGTGACACAACATTGGTGCAAGCCACTGCTAATATGGAACCTGTAGGCAGGATTCAAATGCGCACACGGCGCACACTTCGTGGCCACTTGGCAAAAATATATGCCATGCATTGGGGATCTGATTCACGGTAAAACTTCCCAAAGAAAAATTTTTTTCTCTGTTTACTTTAAATTTTAATGCAGTATGTTAGTGATCTGTTTATAATGATAAAATTTCTTACAGTTACCTTGTATCAGCATCACAGGATGGTAAACTTATTGTTTGGGATGCTTATACAACAAATAAGGTTAGTTTTAATTCATTCTTTGAACTTTAATGGTACAGAATTTTTGTTGGTATGTTTTTGTAAAATAATTATTTCTTTAGGTTCATGCTATTCCTTTGCGTTCAAGTTGGGTCATGACCTGTGCCTATGCTCCATCAGGTAGTTATGTGGCTTGTGGAGGTCTTGATAATATATGCTCTATATATAGTCTTAAGACCCGTGAGGGTAATGTACGTGTCAGCCGAGAACTCCCTGGACACACCGGTTATTTGTCGTGTTGTCGATTCTTAGATGATAACCAAATAGTTACAAGCTCTGGTGATATGACATGGTAAGAATTTCTGTGGTTTCTTAATGTATTGGTGTATGTTAAGAACTTTTAACTATTGTTGTTTTCAAAATGCAATTGCTTATCTATAAATATTTTGAGAATTAACTAATTATTATTATGAAACAGAAAATGAAGCCCTTTTTTACTCTTAACCATGTTTTGAAATCTAGCTATCTTATTACTAAATTCATCTTGTTGAAAACTTTTTATTTTTGATTTTGAGCAGAGGAAATGAATACTGAATGCTTGATGTCTATATATCTGCAAGTAATACTTCTGTGAGAATATTACTGGGTTTATGTGAAACTGCAGATAGGATTGAACGTTAATGTAATTCAGTGTTCATGTTGCATTTATACATAATTGCAGTAAAGCAGAATTAAAAAAAATTTCTCACTTTAAGACATGCTAGCATTAAATAATGCAATAGTAAAGTGTGCTTATGTCTTGCATGCTCAGTCTAGTTCACATTGCCAAATCTAGATCCAGTCACAAAGGATATATTAGTATGGTACACTGCAGATTTCTTGTTGGCTATGTTGCATGCCAATTTCTTGGCATATTCAAGTTTTTCATTAGTACAGTAAAATCTGAAATGCAGATACCCAATGTCCTGAGTGGTTTAATATCTAGACCTTGGAATAGTTAGACAAAAATAATGAAATAAAACATAAAAATTCTTTCCTTCACTTCTTTAGGAATGGAGAATACTGATTAAAAGACCTGCTTCCTCAGCAAATTGAAGGAATCATGTGCTATAAATGTAAATATAGTTCAACCATCTTATCCACAACCATGAACACAAACATGCATGCACCATTCCGACCGAATTATTCTCGAAATAACGTGAAAGGATTTGAAAGAGGGGGGGGGACTTCTTTCCCTCGAGCATATAAATTTTTTCTTTCCAGAGAAAAGAAGACTTTCATGTGAACTTTCACGTCACAGCAAGTAATAACACCCCTTTTGGGCAAATTTAAGTGTTTTGGTAGAATGCCATTGAGGCTAAACTATACATCTTTTCACAGGACTCGGTATTCCTGTATGTCACATTCAAACATCTGCTGGTTAGAGAGGTGGCACTGTGTGGTGACAATATATTGATTGACATAGTGTTGATGTTGACCAAGATCACTCTTCTCAGCCTTTGAGTGATTGTGATAAGTTAGCATTTATCTGTCTGACCTAAACAATAAGTGAAGCCTCAACATTACCATGATAGTATGTCATCTTCCTAGATTTAAATTGATGATCTAGAATTCGCTGAAGTGTTGAATCCGGATCCAGACTTTATTTTCTGTAGAAACTATATTTTCCTTTCTAGACATAGCAAAACATACTCAGTATGCCTTCTCCTCCATCTACATTTCAACTGTAGATTTTTCAGATTCTTTTTTTCTTCTTATTGTCGTCGGCATTTCACCATATAGTCAGTCGTTCATCTGTTAAGTGCAAGTGTATAAAATTTTGATCAGCTTGCAAAATCGAAATTTCCTTACTACTTAACCCTTTGCCTGTGGGAATGTATTTGAGAAAAACGTGCCAAAAATGGAAATTTTTTCCCCTCTTTAATTTTGTTCGTTATTATCATCAAAATGTTAGAAATAGATTATTTTAAAAAAATTCAAACGAAATGACTACTATATTCAATATTTTCATGGATTACAGCAATTTTAGGCTTTAATTAAAGCCTAGCAAAACTAATCAAATGACATAATTTTAGAGATAAGTATAATACACTAATACAACAATATTATTGGTTCCTCAGATTTTTACATGAATGGGCCAAATTTTGAGCAGTTTTGTATTAGGGTGTGTATTAAGGTTGACTTCTTTGTTCACAAAAAGTCGATAATTTCTTATCATTTGAAATCTGTCATAGGACATAACTTTGCGAAAGAAAGGAATTTCATGACATGTCTTTTTTATCAAAACATTGAAACATGGGGCTTCTGAATAATACCTGTAAAACATGGAGCAAGAGAAATATTTTCATTTCATGGTCATTTGTAGGCATCCACAATTTCTGATCGGCATTTTGGCTTCAGATGTTGCCTTTCAATGCATTGCTATGCATATCTATCATTCTCTTCTGTAATAGAGTGAATTTGATGATGACAGTTTGGTAAATCTATCATAATAGTTCAAAATATTTTTTTTTTTTTTTTAAATAAAAGTGTCAATTGTTGCACCCATGTGTGGCTCTTAGAATGGGAATCTTGGCGCTGCTGGAGGAAGGTTATTCAAACATAGCGGCATCCAAGTTTGACATGAAAGAGTTTCACTTTCGGAATAGTGATACTCTTCTGCTGAAATACTGGTATCTGAGCATGAAGAGCCAAGCAAATATTTTTCATTGTTGTCTGATTCTGATATTGCAAACATGATATGGATATTTAGAAAAAAAAATGCAAAATTACGAAAATCCGGCAAATGGTGCAAAACTGTTGAACATTGTAAGTATCGCAATCTATTGGGAAAATGGTAAATTACATATACATTGGATGAAACGAGTTTGGGCTTCAAGGAATTGACACAGCGATTTTTATTTTTCCATTTCAAAATTGGCGAATTTGTGCGGTTCGGGAGACACAGGCAAGGGGTTAACCACTGCATCTATATGCTCTGCTAACTCATCTGGAAGTTTCAGAATTAACTTTAATTGCAAATTGTTTTCTAATATAGCTACATTTTAGTAATTTAGTTATATAGCAGTAAGCCTTGGGTTTTGCTTGATTTTTCAATCGAATAAGGTTTTTGTTCCATGTTGTTTGTTTGAAATACAGTCATGACTTTGTAGTTGCTTTAACTGTCCCAAGTATCTATTTTGAAAAATCAAAATCTGTTGAATGTTTACATTAATGGTTTTCATGATGTTTCTAATACAGTAGAATCCCACAAACTCAACATAATGTGGACTGAAGGGCCGTCCACACTACGCTTGAAACATAGCTGATGAACGTACTTTTACATTACCAGCAAAAAAGCGTCCAAACGAGTACGCTTGCGAAGAGTGCGTTTAACCAATAGAATTATTTTGTGAAAAAATCACGTGGCTCTTTAATATAGCGTCAACAGAGCTGTATCTTGTTACTTTGCTGTGCTTCTATATGTTTGCTGCAAGTTACCCGAATCAGAAGATTTTTTGATAGCTGAAACTTTACTTCATTAAGCAGATGCAAAACCGCAAAAAAAATGACGAGAATAGTTCCGAAAGATTTATTTAGAGCGACCTGTTCAAGGAGATTTTTTTTTCTTAACTTCCTCGTTTGCGAAATGAATATCCAGAATTATTAAATTCCTACTATTAGTTCACACTCTCTGTATATCTTGTTCAAATTTTCAGTTGTTAATAAAATAATTTTTTTTTGATCCACTCAAGTTCAAATACAATTTTTTTAAACTTGTAGTGGATGACACTTGAAGTTAGTACAGCTTTTTCAAATTTTTAATTAAAAAAAAATTCTGATTGTATATTTATTGTATTTTTAAATTTTTCTTTGTGGACCTAAGTAGGAATTAACTTTTTTTTTTTTTTTTTTTTTTTTTTTGTATGTTACTACTTGTTTTTTTAATTACTTCAAATGAGTATCGACCAATTTGTCAGACTTGCAGATTCTATATTGTATGAAAATTAGGATTTATAAAATTGGTTTGGAATACAGTTTATAAAGAGAACTAAGTTACTTAATTCTCTTTATATACACCATCCACCATATAATAAAACCAGCTTCATATTTTTTAAACTCCCTCTCCCTTGGTCTTTTTTTTTTTTTTTTTTTTTATTTATTTTTGAATTTAGAATGAGGGTCAAACTTTGGACAGTTTATGAGAAATTACGTGCATGATAAAATATGCAATAAACATACCTGCCAACCTTTGCGAATTTTTCGTAATTTTTACGAAAATGCGTTTGTTTTTATGATTTTACGATCGTAATCCATTTTTTATGATTTTTTTCCTTTTTCAAGTGTTTTTAGTGATTTTTGTCGAAATTTTAGAATTTTTCGCCAATTCAGCGATTTTCACCAATTGTATCGTGTTTTACCGCCAACTACCGACTACTTCGAATCCAGTAACCTGTGGTTTCTCCCAACTCGCCGCTTAACCAGCCAATCCAATGCGCTGAACTTGCTTCTCCCACTCTTTTCTTTGTGGGCGCCAGATTATTTTTTCGCCTTTGCTTCAGCAGCAAGGAAATTACTCAGCTCGGACTCGGCAAGCATGGATTGTCGCATTCTTTTTTTTTTTTTTTTTTCACGTGCTACGAATTTTCTTAATACGTCGTTGTTACAAAATGAGTTAAAAGAAAACCGTATTCTCAATATTTTCGGCCTGCCTACAAAGCTGAATTTCCAACAATTAAAGAATCCTTCAAAGGAAATAACTATGCATTTTGCAACGTGTGCGTGTGTGACGTCATAATAAGTCACAGTGGAAGAAGCGATATTGTGAAGCTTGTTAAGTCTAAAATAGCATGAAGTTAATGCTTCGGCTTAAACAACGTCAAAGAAAGTGGATGATTTTTTTTTCAAATTCGGCTACAAATTCGGATGCCGATGTCATTCTACACAGTAATGCTGAGTGCACGAGAGTCTTCAGTGTTGTGAAGAAAAACAAAACTATGTTTCGTTCTTCAATTTCACCAAAAACTCTAGAAAACATTTTAATTGCTAAATGTTATGAGGAAACTAATTGTTATGACAGGAAATTGTTATGAAAGAATTGTTATGAAAGAATTTTTGGCTAAAGCCAAAAAATGCACTCTAAATTCATTGCAATAATTTTTTTGTGTAACATTAAGTTCTTGTTTTATGTTTCTTAATAAAATTTTTAGTTACTACTTAATTGAGATTTACTAATGTAAGTACAATTTTCTTTTTTTCTATTTGTATAAATTGTTATTTTTTTAATATCAAAGCATGATATTAATTCTTCATGTTCTTCTGAATTTTGGAGAAATCTTCAGAATTTGGGGTTAGAAATCTTCTGAATTTTTATCTTTAGAGGTTGGCAGGTATGGCAATAAAAGTAAAAATAAAGAGATAATTTATAGATGATATATGATAAAGAGATGCAGATATATTATTACATAAGGGTTTCTATTTGCAATGCACATTTTTAAACTAAATTAAAAACAATAATAATAATGAATTAAAATAAGAAATGAAAACGATAATAATAATAATAGGTAAAATAAGAATATAATGATTCATAATTAAATATAAGAAACACGTTTCAAAATGAGAAAGGTTAACTGAATTATATACTGTCTACGGGTGAGGTTCAAACTCGCCACTTTTCCATTTGCAAAGCAGCGTGCTGACCACTCAGCTATCTGTGATAGCTGTGTTTGTGAAAAATAATGTAACAAGTAGAAGTCATTGCAAAGGTAATTTCATTAAACTTCAATAAATGATTGCTGTATGACACAAGTTGTAATTTTCCTCCAAAATTTTATAATTGTATTTTATTGAATACTCTTTCACAGTCAACTGCTTTATTTTAGAAGTTGTTATATTGCCGAAGTTATTTTTTGGTGTGTTTAATATTGGGATATTTATAGAGCTTTTTATTAGACATGATAAAGCCAATATTTATAATAATTAAAGAGAATTTTGTAAAGCGGAAACTTTGATTTTGTAGAAACTGTAATTTATTTAGATTCCTATTACGGTGTTATAAACAGGTGAAGCATATGGATATACTGGTCGAATCATATGGATATACTGGTCGAATCATTGCTTTATAAGTGTACAGTTTTCCCCTTTAATGAGAATTTGAAATTTATACCAATATATACAGTTTGAGAAATCTGAAGATTGCGTGAACAATGCTGATTATTTTATTGCTGTATACAGTTATGATAAAGGGTTCGTAGCGTCCTTACAAGTGCTTATAAGTCCTTATATTTGAAAATAAAATATAAAGGCCCTTATAGGTACTTACTTTTTCTTTAGAGCCCTTATTTTTTGTTTTTAGTGCTTATTTTTTGCTTTTAGTGCTTTTTTTAATCCCCCCCTTTTTTTTTAATGAATGCGGATTTTTTTCCCTTTCCAAAGCCGAAACTAAATAAACAACTTTTCTTCCTTATATGCAATGTCAGATGGTGAATCATACTCCCGGAAATTGCTTTTCATCCTTTCTCTGCATTACCATAACCTATGGTGCGCGCGAGAGTACAGACAGGTGCACGTCATTCTATTGGTCAAAAAATTGCAAAAATGGTAGAAAATTCCGGTACATTTGGTATTCTTTTTCTCCCACCCAAATACTACACACGTTTGAATTTCTATCAAGATTTTAATAATTTGCATTCTCGTTCCTCGTGGTCAGTTCATATTCGTGTTTATTATGATCGTTATGCTTATATTATGAGTATATGCATGAGTATTTATAATATAGTTGCAGTAACTGCTGAAGTATAGATAAACTTCCAAAAATAGGTGTGTTTTTACAGATTAGCTTCCTAGGGAATAATATTGGGAATGGCTTAAATAAAAGAAAAGTAATCGAATAGTCAAAATAATGCTTCCCCCCCCTCAAATACATTATACAGTACGGATCTCTAATATTGAAGCAGCAGACTTTTTTTTTTTTTTTTTGGTCACTGTCCAATTTGGATTGAATAGGACTAAAAGTTTTGCGGTCTACCCAACCCATGCGAAGAATGATTCTATTCAGGAAATTTAACTGTCTGTTCAAAATTAGAATCAGAAACATCCCAGATTAGTAAGTCTCTTTCTTTTCCTTTATTTAGTTCTTTATTCTCCGAATATTGGCAGCTGTTGATTCCGATTGCATAATATCACTATGGAGATTTACGCGCGTGTATTGCACAACAACGTTTGCGAAATTTTGCGGAGATAATTGATATTCAGTCTGAGATTTGTTTATGAGCACTTAAAAGAGTTTTACTGTGCTTATAGCACAGGAGCACTAAGCAGGATATTTTTCAGTTCCTTTGGGCTATTTTTATATGATTCACATATTGAAATGTCAAAAGCATTATTTAGCCAAGAAATCTAAAGAACGGCTACAATCTCCCCCACTCCTCTTTTTCCAGTTACTATCCGGAATATTCGGCAATTTCGGAGTATGCGGGTTAGTTAAGCTTTTAAAGGAGACTGCATGAAGCAATTTCCCGTCTTCTGTTTTCAGAAATTTGCTTTTTTTTTTTTTACTTAAATTGCTTTGCTTGGAATATATGTTAAGGGAAAACTGTTTTGCATTGAAAATTTAGAAAATGTTCAGAATTTTGATTTAAGTTAAATTATTTAAATATTAATACGAGTGGAAAAATAAATTGTATTATTAGGTGCCAAACGAATACAACTAATATGGCTTATTATTATACAACTAATATGGCTTCGTATTATTTATTTCTATATTTGAACTGAAATTTCATCATTAAATCTTGTATATAGTTTTAGTTCTGCATAGTTTTTTTTTTTCCCCTCATTGTAAACTAGTCTGTAAATTGAAACTGTCATTTGAAATTTTAAAAAAAGTTAATTGTTTTCCATGATTGAGGTAATGCTCATTTTCTTAATAAATATTGCATTGCTCATATTTTAAATTACAATTATTTTAAATTACAAATTCTTTACTTGTGTATAATGTAATTAGACAGGTGCTTATTTTTTCCTTAAAATGTGCTTGAAAAGTGCTTACAGGTGCTTTTTTTTTTTTTTTAACTAAAATGTGGCTACGAACCCTATGATATTTCTAAGCAAAAACTCATCTCTGTGTGGTTCTGACGCCATATTGAAACAGATAAGCAAAAAGGTTTTCTGATTATGACATGTGATGAGAACTCTGACGACTATTCGCGTGCGTCGCAATCGAAAAAGCTGAACAGGAGCGAACTCAGTTTTACGTCTTTTGTGTCACACGAATTTACGTTGGCGTAAAAAAAGTTGTGTCAACTCTGTCGTGAGCTTACTCATGTGAATGGGCCTTGAGAGACTGTTAAGTTTCCGAAAAGTCGAGTTTTACGGAATAGGAGCTGGATTTTTCAGAACTCTAAATACTTAAACCCTTTCATGCATGTGATATTACTTTTATAATGTTTTAACTAAAAAACTCTAGAAATTGAGTATTATTATCCTAGAGACAAAAAATATATGATTATGATATTGTAGCATTGTCCAAGTTAGCATATAGCTTTTCCCCACAAACATGTAATTTTGCTTAATGCCGTACTGCTTTTTTTATCTGCCGAGCCAGCCAGCACTAGCAGTAAATCCAGACTCTCCTTCTTGAAATACATCATAAAATTTTAGGGCTTCCTCTTGTAAAATTGGTTCCTGAAATGAGTGTTTCCTGCCTGAACCACAAATAAAGCGCTCTACTCACTTAGTCACTACCTTTCATACTTTTTCTTTCCTTTAAACTATCTGTACATGCTTTTTTCACATACCAAGATTCTGTTTTGGACCTCTTCTTCCACCCTATCAGAGTAGTCCATCCAACACCTAAATCTATAGTAATTTTGTTTACACTTTCCCCTTTGCCCATTCTCCTTAAGGCATCTAGTTTCATTTCCTTTGTCATGTTAGTTTGTTTCTTTTCAAACGACATTTTCACTTCACAGAATATCCCCCAAAACGCCTGGATGTGAACTGAGGAATGTTACCCGCAATGAACTGGTGTGAGTCTAGTTTGCAATAAGTTAAGTCACAAAACTTCAGACAATTCTCCTAACATTTTGCAACAATGGAAAGGAATGTGAGCTAGCGGCAGTTGCTACCTGACTTTCTTTGTATCCTCGAGAGGCACAAATGGTATTGCCAAGCATTACAAAATATCTTGAAATTTATTAGGCACTTCTAAGAGTTAATGGCACAATGTTAAAATGGCAAAAGTTCCAGAAAAAGAGCCGCCCAACCGGTATAGTGGTTAGTGTCACTGACTGCTGTGTCGAGGGGGTGGAGTTCGAATCCCGGTTCAAAAATTTTCTTGTAGAACGTGTAGTATCTTTTCATGATCACTTCAGATTTCAAATTATTAAAAATATTTTGTTGAAGAACTAATAATTGACTGTAGACATTTTTAAATTGTAATTTTAATCATTAAAAATTTTAGAAATGTAATAAAAATTATAGTCCACAAAAATTTATACAAAACTGTATGTTGCAAATTATTGTGCAAGTTTTTTTCGCACAATATGTAAAATCTAAAGCTTGTTGCAAATAAATTTCAAAAACACTAATGTTTGAAAACAATGCGAGGCACCATATGTGTTTTCGTGATATTTTTTAAACATTTAGTAGTTTGGTATAAAATATGTGTTGATCCTTGCCAGTGCTGTCTCTTTTCTTTGTTCAGCAACTTTCATTTTGATAGTCATGACTGAAAAATGCAATTTTGGAGCTGAGAGGCATCTAAATGCTGAAGTTATTAGATTTAAATTCACAGAAGAAATACCATATTAGACTTAAAATATAATAAAAAGAAATCCATTGAGAACTCTGAATATAGTTATAATTTAGTAATGCTGAAATCATTGAATTGTTTTGAAACATGCAGAATTTTTGTTTTAAATTTTTAGTTGCTTGTATATTCTGTTTTGAAGACACTTTTTTTTTTTTTTTTAAATCTCAGAGATTAGATTTTAACAGCATTTTATTTATCATAACTAATAAATTCATATAAATGTCTACCTGTTCAAGTTCATGATATGTGTCTTATATTATTAGAATTGTTGGTGACTTTAATGTGTATTATTTACAGTGCTCTCTGGGATATAGAAACTGGTCAACAGTGTACTTCATTTACTGGTCATACTGGTGATGTGATGTCTCTTTCCTTATCACCCGATATGCGAACTTTTGTGTCAGGTGCCTGTGATGCTTCAGCAAAGGTAACATTAATACTTTATGCAGATTTGTTTTTCTGGTCATAAGTTCAAAGTAGCTTTTGAAATATTATAAAATATTATACCTCAAAGCAGGTTTTTTTTTTTTTTTTTTTTTTTTTTTTTTTTTTTTTGTGTGTGTGTGTGTGTGTGTTTTATTCTGTTGAGTATTACTAAAAAGCAGAAATATATAAAGAAATAACACCAGAAAAATAAAATAGCAAATAAGAAATGTAGTTTGAGATGGTGTTCTACCGTATAGTATCTTATAAGCCTTAAGTTAGATTGGCCTTAAATTTAAATGTCTTATGAGAATTCAATAAATTTCTGCTCTCTCGGTTATTTGAAGTAAATCATTAATTTGTGTTTCTTGTGTTTATATGTACTGTATTTCCAGGCTTATCCCCTCATCTTTTTAGTATCAGATTTGAAAAATTAAAAAATATTTGTGCAATTTTCTTTTTTCAGTGTGTTTAGAAAATGAGTGCCCCTAAATTTTCAAATGGATTCATCCATGTAGTAATTGTTTTTGTTTTACTAACAAAGACAAACGCTTACAAACTAACTGTAAAATTCATACTGAAACTTTCTTTTCTGTTTAACTTTGTGCCAGTTTAATACAAGAACTCACTTTTCACAGCAAAGGAAACATTCACTTTCTCTAAAAAGATATCTTATTGGATATTGCAATATTAGTACAGTCAAAAGTCGTTAATTCGGACACCCATAATACGGAATGATCTATAATCCGGACCTCAAAGCTACAAACTTTCTGTGCATGCGTCACGTTGACGCATGCGCGTAAGACCTTTACGGCTGCGAAAAATACGTTTAGGAATGCGCGTTTAATGTATAACGGACGGTATAAGCTAAGCTCTAATTATCTATTTCAGTTAATGTTGCAGATTGCATTATTCCTTAATCTTTGAATTGGATCCGGCTTATTATTTTTTGCAGACTGATAGAGCAATTTTATAAAAGTAAGCTTGAACTTTCGATTTGGCGCAATTAATTGGAAGTTGATCTGTCAGCACTATCCTTATCTTCAGGGCAGATGTTTTTAGATGTACTCAGTCTTTGATATGATTTAAATCAAATGCCTCGTCATAATAATTCCGATAGCAAGAAAGTGACAGAGGTTATTGAAAACGAAAAAGTTTCGATTGACAAATTAGTCGGTGTTATTCTCGACACAGCAATTATAGGACGACTTGAACAGCGGAACTTTGTAACTGAACAAGAAATTATGTCTGTTTATAGAATTAAAGAGAATGTATTATCACATAAAAAAATGAAGCAACTTAAACAACTTGCATTGAAAGAAATGTTTAGTAAAGTAAACAAATATTAAGCTCTTTTTTTTTTTTTTTTTTTTTTTTTTTTTTTTTAAATTTTGATACTTTAGATTCATAATTGTTCTTTATTTCATAAATTACAGTTTCATATTTTTAATTTTATAATTTCTGCATGCCATTTTACCAGATTTAAACTGATTATCTATAATCCGGAAAAATCGATAATCCAGAATCGTTGAAGTCCCGACGAGTCCGGATTAACGACTTTTGACTGTATTACAGTGAATTTGTATTAGAATGTAGGCTTCTTTTAAATAAATAAATATTATCATAGTTATTAGTAGTTTATCCATAGAAACTTTTAATTTGTTATGATCCTACTGTAACTGTATCCTTTGGAAATTTCCTCTCTCTATTTTTGGCCCATGAAATTAGTAAAACAAGGGGGGATATGCAAGGAAATACAGTATTAGTCTTTTTAATGATATCACATTTTGGTTGAAATCTTAAAATTGTTTTTGGTCTTTAAGATGTTTTTCCAGTTGCTTAAATTTGTCTTAAACGTTCCTCTAGAGGAAGGGAAAAAACACTTGATGGAAAATTAATAGTAATGATTAATTTAACAGTGCTGAAATTAGAACCATCATTTACTTCTAGTTCTTTTGCAAAAAGTCAGCTACGGAATATCACCAAATCATGTTTATAGCTTTAGGTAATAATGTTGCATCATATGACACTGTGAAGGTACCAAAAGTTCAAAAACAAGGACTATAACATTCAAGAAGCAGAACGCTCTGGCCACCCTACTGATGTTGATGAGGCTTGCTTGTGAGAACTTGTGGAAGATCTGTATGCAACCACTCGAGAGCTTGCTAAGGAGTTAGATGTTAGTGCCATGTCTATTAGTCGCGCTATGCATAGCAAAACTTGACGTAAAAGTTCGGTTGCTGGGTGCCACATGAGCTGATTCAAGCAGATAAGAACAGACATATTCGGGCCTGTAATCTGCTCGAATATCAATGCAAGGACAAAAATCTGGATCGGATCATCACTTGTGATGAAAAGTGGATTTACTCCGACAGCACAGGTCGGAGAGGTGTTCGGTCTGCGCCTGATGAGCCCGATGTCAGCATTACAAAGTGCAATTTGATTAACAAAAAGATCTTCCTTCCTATCTGGTTGGACTGCATTGGTTTTATCCACAAAGAGTATCTGGAAAAAGGTAAAACCCTTGCAATAAGGTGTACAGCGAGATGCTAGTCCGTGTTATTCTTTTGGTGTAGCTTTCTCTCTCTTCCCTTTGTAAATTCTACTACTATTCTACTACACACACATATATATTTAAATGTTATTCTGATTGGATCATATTTTATTGAAAACTGATATTTTAAAACTCAACATTTTGCAGTAGTTTAATGGTGGCAATAATAGTTGCTGCTTTATGATGCAAAATTCCAAATTTAAACAAACCTCAAGTAACGTGTTGTATCTTTCTAATCCTATTGCCCCGTTGGTGAACCGAGTGGTTAACTGTTGAATACTGGTAGTTCAACATATTTTGAATTCGAACCCAGCCAATCTCCTTTTAGGTGGATATCCCTTGTGACTTTGCTGCATTCAAATAATCTTTCTATTCCTTAGTATATATCCTCTGTCAACTCCCATGACCAATTAGTTTTTCATTATGCTGCCATTAATTTGTAATTTGCCATCTTGGCAATGCTTTTAGATCTCGGCTACTAATACCAAGCGGGCATAAATTATTCTGTTTACTTGAAAAGTGAAAGGAACACTTGTAGATATTGTGTGAGTGCTATGAGATTGAACTGTCATAAATGTGCATTATTTAAATTATAAGTGTTTTAAAGTTTTCCAAAACTGCCCCAAATAATAGAATTAGACTGATGTTTGTTAAATATTTTGATATAGTGAAGGTATAAACATGTCTGGAAATATGTTTACTAAGCTGGCCAAAGTTTTTCATTGATTTTGATACTCTAGCAGTTAGTATATGAAAGGAGGTGGCAAACTTAACACTCCAAGCATTATGGTTTTAGGCCTGAAATTTCAAAGTTCCTCAAAATGTCATAAATAAGTGGTATTTTCTTGGTATTAATTAAAAAAAAAACGACTCTCTCATTTTATACCTTGATTCCCTTTCTTCCAATATACATCCAAACTGAAATTGGATACATTAAAAGCTAGCAGAAATTTTCATGTGTAATGAACATAGAAGGCACCCTTCTATACGGAATTTTCTGGTCGTAATGCTGAGAGTGTTAAGGAGTATGTGTTTTTTGAAATGTTGTTTCTCTTTCAGATTATTTTCTACTTTTTATGCTTTGGCAATGGCCAATACAAGTCTGCCTGAGTATGCATGCACAGGACAACCTGATTTTGTGTTGCCTAAAGCTGTTAAAAAATTTCAGATAAGTGTGCTGTATTGCTAGAAATTGAACAAAATGCTGTTCCGAAATAGTTTCAGTTAAAAAAAAATGCAGTGTCAGATTTTTACTACAACTTACTACTTTTTAAAAATCTGAGCCTTTTTCAGTCATAAGTCATTTTACTCACAATTCTGCATCTATAAAAGTTTCAAGGATCTTTGCTTAAGCAAGTCTTCAGCATTTGTTTTCTGTATGTATGCCCAAACAAATTTCTGTATGTATGGCATTAGTTTAAAGTATGTGTTGCAGTTTTTTGTGTAGTGATGGCTTTTCCTGTGTTCTGCCATGAATAATTCATATTAAAAAATTTGTTATAATTTAAAATTTTATAAGGAATGCTGAATTAAACTATGATCATGTTAGCTAGCAGACAACATTTGTGGTCAACTTTTTCTGCATATTTCGAAGTTAACCAGTTGCATATATTTTAAGCTATTGACTGCTCTTATTCATATGAAGTTATTGACTTCATGACTGCTCTTAACTTATTTTCTGCACCTCATTTGAGACAAAAGTTTAAGTCAGCCTTTATATGTGTGCTTTTCATGGTATAACACAGTAAATAGAATAAAGTGTGTTCGTGCTGGGGAATTCTAAGGGATTCAATTATCTGTCACAGCTGCTTTTACTGTGATTGTAAGGCAAGCCCAGGCTGGAGGGAGGATCCTGAAGAATTATTCTCAAGTGACACACTATAAGTTAAGACTGATCCAAAATAATGAATTCACATAAATATTGAAGCGAAGGGATTGTGAACCTAACCAATATATAGATTATTGTAATTTCTCCATCATTTGTCTGCATGTGTCGTAGTGTTTTAAATTTGCAGTTAATTATTAACTAATTTTCTTGTTTGGCATAAGTTATTAATTTTATTTTCTTGTAATGAATAAAAGCTTTTCTTTCCTACTCTAGATTTCATCAGTATAAAAGTTACAAACTGAAAGGAAATCAGCCGAAATTTAGAACTTACATACTTTAAACCAATTAATTAATCAATTATTAATACAGTTTGCATAAGAATCACATTATAAAGTGAATTTAAGTTTTCTTGAAATCCTATTGCCATGCAACTTCAAAAACTCGCATTTTCTTCCAGACATCATGCAAAAATCTCTCCTCCCCTTTTGATTTAAAGGTTGTTAACCATGGAATATAAAGTGTGGTAATGTAGGAATTTAATAAATGCAACACGTGTTAGGATCTAATGATTTTGTGGTTAACATTACATATTTTATGGGAAAATAAATTTTCTGTATACTTTTTATTTACGGGAAAGCAGTGAATAAATCTTAGGGTCACTTCGCAAGGGTTATCAGAAGACCATTTAACTCCTTTCTGAGGTGTTACTCTTGATAAAAAATACCAATTTTTGTATATATCAAAATTATAATTAAAATGCTATATTAAAACCTCTTGTATTTATTTAAAATTATTTTTGTTTATAAAATGGTTGCAATTCCATAATTTTTTAATATAATTTTTTCATGATGTGAGTGACCAGTTATGAAAAACAAAAGATCCATGACATACACTATGAGTAAAGAATTAATTAAAAAATACCTTCTTTCCTCCTCTGTTTTTTTCACAAATTATTAAAAACAGGGTTGCTACGCTACCTGGAAAACAGAAAAAAGTCAGGGAATTTAAATATTTTAGTCAAAATCTGGAAAAGTCTGGGAATTTCATATGGCAATCCCCCCCCCCCCCCCCCCCCAAGAAAAAAAGCTAGTTTTGCACCGACGGTGGAAGCGATAACTTTCTTGGCGAATTATGTTTCGCGTGAACGTCATTCGGGCAGCTGGCATAAAGCCAATTTTCACAGCTCCAATTAGATTGTCTTTTAGGAAGGCAAAGCAAGTTTCCAGTAATGCCGAGAATCGAGAGACTCGCCTGCACACGTGCAGTGCATGTTTAACTAAAGAAAATACGTATTTTCTTATAAAACAAAATTGGTTTAATCCTAGTTTATGCTACTATGGAGGTTCGTGTATTCTATTCTAACCTCCATCTGCGGTACACACGGGATTTGGCGACATTATAATGACTGGTAAACGGGTAATTTTGGTGTTGGTGACAATTTTCAAAATCGTTCCAAGACCTTAGCGTATACTACAGTACAAAGTGCGTAATTCAGACGTCCGTTATCCAGAACGATCTATAATCCGGACCTCAAAGTCACAAACTATTTTTTTATGCTTTACGCATGTGTTAATGCGTATTGGGAGGATGTGTCTCCAAGTGTGTTAAAAAATGCGTGGCATAATTTATGGCCAGCTACCATATTTCATGGTGAGGACGATGAAGATGACAGCCGCAAATTTGAATGTTTTCGGACATCGCAAATTAAAGGTGAAATTTTCCAATTATTGGATTTTGTAAAGAAATGTGGAGAAGCGGTAATTAAATGAAGATAATATAACAGAAGTTTTTCATTGCGACGACAATGCCCCAATCATCAATCAATTAACAGACGACGAAAACTGTAGTAAGGTTCTAGATCCAGAAAATACCACTTCCGATAGTGAAGAAAGTGACAGAGAGGTTATCGAAAACAAAAAAATTTCGATTGGCAAGTTAATCTGTATTCTCGAGACAACAATTACAGGACATGAACAGTGGAACTTTGTAACTGAAGAAGAAATTATGTCTGTTCATGGAATTAAAGAGAAAGTATTAGCACAAAAAACGAAGCAACTTAACTTGCATTGAAATGTTTAATAAAGTAAACAAATTAATATTAAGCTTTTTTTTTTTTTTTTTTTTTTTTTTGTAAATTTTGATACCCTTTAGATCAGAATTGCTCTTTATTTCATAAATTACGGTTTCATATTTTTAATTGTATAATTTCTGCATGCCATCTTACCGGATTTAAACTGATGATCTATAATCTAGAAAAACCCCTAATCCGGATTGCCAAAGTCCCGACGAGTCCGTATTATGGACTTTTTACTGTACTAGGATTTTACCGCAAAATTTTTTTAACCTTTTTTTTTTTTTTTTTTTAAATAAATGCCTTATTTGTCATTTTGCCGTACAATAAAAAAATTGTAATTAGTCATCCAGGCTAGCCATTTAATATCAATATTCGCTAAAATATCGTTATTCCAATTCAATTTTTAAGTTTTTTTATGTTACCCATATCATTTAATGTGTCTTCTTCTCTCTAAGTTGATTTATTATTAGTAAATACTTTCAAATTTCAGGAAATTTTCTCTGGCATATTCCTGAAACTAATTCTAGCAGTATGATGACATACTATCATGAAATTTAATGCACATATTTTTTGCTTATGTATGCTGCTTAATAAATATAAAATACCTGAATTTTTTAAAAAATATCATTAAATATATTTTTCTTCTTTTAGTTGCAAAATGTCAGCAAAAAAGAACATTTTTTAATCCAGATTGGGCATCTGTGGAAAAAATAACTCCTATTATAGTAATAATAGGGGGATTATATATATATATTATCATATGTAATTGGTGAATTTTTGCATTTTTAAATATCAACATAATTAATTTACCTTTTAGAACAGCTCATGTGCATTACGCGGGTAGACTGGAATTTTCTTAAAACACACTTGGAAAAGTCTGGGAATTTCATTCTCCTGTTTTAGTGGCAACCCTGTAAAAAGTGTTGTGCATTTTGCATTTTGAAATGAAGATGACAGAATATATTCATAAGCGAGAACTGTAAGATTTTTTAAGTCAAATATAGTTGACAGTTATCAATCTAATGATAAGATTGTCTGCTAACTTTTTTGTTCAATGGTAGATTATTTGATAACCTTAAATTTTTCATTAATAACAATGCTTTTTTTTATTGTAGCTTTGGGATATCAGAGATGGAATGTGTAAGCAGACATTTCCAGGGCATGAATCTGATATTAATGCTGTTACAGTGAGTACCTTTTCGAATGTGTAATAATAATATTCTGCATTTAAGATCTATTATTACAGTGACTTGTTGACAGATGCAAAATTATACTTGATTTTAAAATGTTACCAGTTTTTCATTCAGTGTGCTGGATTAGGTTAGAAAATTTTCCTTAGGTTTTTTAGTATTAATTTCTAATAATAAATTGTGTTGAATAAAAGTAAAGTTTAAATGTATCAAATCTTTTATGGCAGTAAAAACTCATTCATTTTCTGTACATGTTTTATATTTTGTTTAAACCAACTTTTGCCTTGTGTACAGTAGTGCAGTGTTATCAAGTATTAACAAATTTTTTGTTAACGTAACAAATTCAACTTTTAAAGGTCTAAGTGGATACTGTGTAGGTTGGTGTGAAATCTGATTAGCTGATTTTTTCACCATATCAAAAGCAAATTCTATTATAATGGAAAGACAGTGCTTTCTGTATTTCATATTTTAAACAGTTGTGAAAACTTTTTTGCTAATATTCTAAAGAATTCAGGTAAAAGAGTTCATAGAAAATCTGTACTACTCATATAGTACTAATAAAGTTCATAGAAAATCTGTATTATACTACTCATACAGCGGTGGCCAAAATTGTGGACACTTTTGGAAATTTTATGTTTTGAACTTTGTATGCTTATAGAAAACGTTACGTTTCACAAAATGCAAACTTGTATATATCATTTTAAAGAGAATTTATTACCGAATTCAATACAAAACATAAAATTCAATTATTTGCAATACAAAAAAAGTTAAACGATAATAGTTATCGATATACATTAGATAGTGATGATTGCAGTGAGTTATCAGTACTTAGTAGGGTACCCTTTATTTTTTATTACAGCTTCACATCGACGTTTCATTGAGCTGACAAGAGTTTTAAGCTCTTGTTTCGTTATTACATGATGCCAGGAAACAATTATAGCCTCAATTAGTTCGCTTTTATTTGATGCGCGCCTCATTCGGACAAGAGTTTTCAAACGGTGTCACAAATTTTCGATAGGATTGAGTCCTGGCCATGACAACAATTTCATGCCCTTTGTACGAAACCGCTCTTTTGATATTTTGGCTGTGTGGCAAGGAGCAGAATCCTGCTGAAAAAAAAAAGAAGCATTGTTGGGAAAGAGATCTCTGATGGAAGGTAGAAGTTTTGGTTCTAGAATAGTGTCAATGTATTTTCTGGCATTCAGTGTCCCATCGATGACATGAAACCGACCAATACCATCTGCTGACATGCATGACCAAATCATAACACTAACTGGGTTTTTCACAGTTGATTGAATGCAGTCAGTATGTAGCTCTTCTCCTATTCTACGTCTTACATATTTTCGCCCATCACTGCCGAATAACGATATCGTAGTTTCATCACTCCATATAACTTGTGACCACTTATCATCTGCCCAATTAATGTGTTCCTTTGCCCACTGTAGTGGCCCCCCCCCCGTTGCTGAAAATTAAGATAAGGCTTTTTTCGTGGAATTCTACCTCTCAGTCCAACATCTGTTAATCTTCTCCTGATTGTTCTTGAACTGACAGAAACACCAGCATCATTCAGATCACTTCTGATGGCCGCTGATGACATTTTTCTATCTTGGAGACATAGTCTTTTTATTCTTCTATCATCAGTAGATGTGGTGCACCTTTTTCGGCCTCTTCCTTCTGTGTTTTTTATTGAATTTGTCTCCTGATATTGTAAACAAAACTTTCGGACTCCAGATGTAGTCACTGAACCACCCAGTTTTTATTTTTATTACTGTAATTTTTACCTAAAATAATAAAAATTAAATCAGTTTTCATGCTTAAAAAATTTGATATATTTTTAATGCATTTTTAAAAATTACTTTTCAGAGGATGCTAGGTGTTTATCTTGCAATTTCAGCAAAGGAAAGACTACTTTCTCGTAACACAATAATATTACATCTCTTTCTAGGTGTCCAATCTACTCTTTTATTTGATGTCATTGCTTCTTGACTAAATATTAAAAATTTTTACAAAAATTCCTACTTGTAATTGCAGTGTATAAGAAACAGGTCCTCCTTCTATAGAACAAAGCAAAATAATGAATTGTTCAAGTATAAACATGATGTCAGCTTCTACTGGCAGTTGCTAACATTTGATTGGTTCTCAGAACGAGAACAGCGATTGGCCAGGAAAGCTAGACATTACAAACCACTTCATAACTGTGTTTTTTATTTATATTAAAGTACATATAACTTTTTTGTATTGCAAATAATTGAATTTTTGTGTTTTGTATTGAATTTAATAAATTCTCTTTAAAATGTTATATACAAGTTTGCATTTTGCGAAATGTAACATTTTCTATAGGCATACAAAGTTCAAAAACATAAAAATTTCCAAAAGTGTCCACAATTTTGGCCACCACTGTAGATGATTTATGCAAAATTATATTTTTGTTTTAAATAATAGATAAGATACCATACCTGCTGGTATTTTTGACATTTAAAAAAGAAAGAAAAAAAATTGAAACCCCTGCTAAATATTGCAAGTGAGGAAATTGTTAAAAGAAAATGTTTTTAAGAAAAGTAATGAAATATGATAAAAAATAATTACCTTTTGTTATTTTATTTATAATTTAAATACATAAATTAATGTGATAGTATAGAACAAACTATCATATTAATTTATGTTCTTAAAATTATTGTACATGTTAGTTACATAGTAAAATGAATCATATTCTACAAATATAGAGATATGTATTTATGCAACATCACATTCATTAAAGTACAAGAAATGGCTAAAAGGCTGATAATAAAAGTGAAGCTATCAATATTAGTTTTTGATTGTATTAAAATGATGTGGCTTGAATGGGATCTTCGTGTTTTTTATGCTCATAGTTCAAGATAACTCTTATATGTGTGTGCTTTAGAGGTGAAAATATATACTGGAAAGATAATGGAAATGGCCTTCTTAGGGCACATGAATCCCTTTTCCCCTTGTTATTTTTCTGTTAAGTTACTAATGCTGTTACATTGAATTTTTGCATTTTAAAACTGTCATTTTGAAGAACAGCATTTTATCGAATTTATTGTGTGATCTGGTGGCAACAGGTCATGGTATGCAGTTCCTTTGTATTCTCATCATACACAAAGCATTACTTTTTTAAGATGCAGCACCCTTTTTAATTTTACTGAAGGAAGTTATTTTGGCTTACTCTGTGAAAATTTTCTTGTAACCACTTCCGTATGATCATTGACTTTCTTATAAACAATGATCTATTTCTTACTAAATTTATTTCTTATGTAGTTTTTGTCTTTACTAATGAGCCATCTCAAAAGGAACTTGTTCGCCCTCCCCCAGCAAAGAATCATATGCCAAAACTCGTGCATGCATATTCTGCTCTATACTATGGGATACCCCAGTCTTCTTTAAATGATTATGTGTAGCACTTTTTGGAATATTTTCTCTGATAATTGCTGAACTATGTAACGTAGAATTTCAGCAACTTTATTTAATGGCTCTTGTAAACTAGAGCTTCCAGAACAGGCATTATTTCCAAGTTTGAAATTTGTTTTACCTTTTGAATTGTGTTATCAGAAATAGCACTTTGTATATATATATAGCACAAATTTTATGAGCAGTTTGACTAGCTTTTTTTTTTTTTTTTTTTCCCCTTTTTAAAAATAAAAAAACTATAATTTGGTGAAAATGAACTTTTGAATTCTTACCATTGCCACCAAAAAAAAAAAAAAAAAAAAAAAGGCAGAAATGCATACAACCCAAAGTAGGAAAAAAAAAAAAAAACTCTGTAAACATCTGCTTTGAACAAGGTCACTCCTTACCAGCAGTAACAAAATAATTAGTAGAAAACACGATTTAAAAAACTACAGAGAGGATGGCCTGGTAGTCCTTCAAGGGTATATGTGCTTATTGCATCAGTTTATTTGTGTTTAAAAATATTTGTCATGGAAAATAAAGAAATAGTAGAATAACAATGACTGTTGCATAATATCTGTACTTATACATTCTTTTGCAAAAAAAAAAAAAAAAAAAAAAAAAAAAAAAAAACTAAACACTGTGAAGGAAGTGTTGGTTATTGATGAAATTGAATATGTGTATAGCTGATACACAGATAATAAAATGATTAAAAAATCAATGTCATAGTACCTGTTCGTGGCTCACCATCACCTGTTGAGTGCTCAAATTAGTAGTTGGTCAAACCGCCCCTGGCGGCAATGCATGCTTGAATTCGTCGAGGCAAGGAGTGGTAGAGGTTCCTAATGTCATCCTGCGACACAATCTGCCAGGCATTCATCAGTTGTCGCTATAGATCTGCGATATTTTGTGGTGCCTGAATCTGGCGGCTTTCCTTGTCCCAGACATGCTCGATTGGTGAAAGGTCTGGTGATCTTGCTGGCAAAGGAAGAATATCAACCGCACAGAGACAGTCCAGAGTTATGCGAGCGGTATGTGGCCTGCAATTATCTTGTTGGAAAATGGCCCCAGGATGATGTGCCATGAAGGGTAATGCAACAGGTTGCAGGATGGTATCAACATATCATCGAGCTGTTAAAGATGTATGGAGGATGACTGAAAATGACCTGCTGTCATAAGAAATAATGTCCTACACCATCACACCAGGGGTTATGGCTGCATGCCTTTGTAAAACAAAGGCTGAAGGCTGGTTGGGATCGCTGGCTTCGTCCCCTCCAGACACGAACACGATGGTCACCTGCTTCAAGAGTGTAGTGGGATTCATCTCTAAACACTGTACGATGCCAGTCTGATGGCAGCGATGATGATCGGCTGCAACACCACTCCAGACAACTCTGCCGATGGTGTGGGAGTCAAAAGCAAATATCTTAAAGGCCTCTGTGAACGTAACCTCCGCCTCAGATATGAGATGATGGACAGTACCACAGGAGGTATAGACGTGGCTGTAGTGCGTTGAATAATCGACAGTGATACCGTTGAGGTGGTTAGGCCTGGCGAACAATAATCCTATCTTGCCTCGCATTTGTGATCTTTGACCTTCCAGAGACTTCATTCTGTTGAAGATTTCCTTGTAACAACTATTGCTGCCAACATGTTTGCACAGCAGTGTCTGTACGGTGCAATTGGCATCCTATTGCTCGGTATGACCACTCAGCTTCACACAACCCTACGATGCGACCACGTTCAAAGTCGTTTAGTTGTCTATAAGAATTTGGATATCGTCGTAATGGCATCTTTAGTTGCTTCTTTACGGAATTACAATGACAGCAACAAAAAAAAAGATAAATTTTACGCCTCAGTTACTGGTTTTATATTGTTAGAAATGTGCGCTATGCCCGCAATTCCTGTTCATTTGCCTTGAAACTTTGATAATTTGCATGTTCAATCAAGATGTCTTTGCCTACCAAATTTCGTCACGATTGCAAAAGTTCTTGGTACTTTGATTTTTTTTTTTTTTTTCCAAAAGAGTGTATATATACCAAGCTCCTTCACTCCATTATCATGTTCTATACTGCATCCACCACATACGTGTATATATATATATTAGGAGATAATATAATCAATATTTTAGTAAATAAATTATATATATATATAGTATAAAGTCCGAAATCCAGATGTCCTTTATCCGGAATGATCTAAAATCAAAGCCACAAACTTTTTAAGGGGGTATGCTTTACACATGCGCATTTAATTTTTCGTTCCATAATAAAACATGTGTAGATTTTTCACTTAAAAATTCAGATTCTTAATTTCACTTAGGCACTAAATAAAATACATCATTATGAAAAAACGATCACGTAAGCATAAATTTGTGAGGTTAATAATTTGTCATTACATCTCAAACCAAAACATTCACCTATTTTATATCCCTGACCCTGACCCGGACTTAACGAGTCTTTATTTATTATATTTTGCTTTTAACACACACCATAAGTCTGTCACCTAGTGAGCGTGAAGAGGAAGGTATCAGTCTCTCAACAGCAGTCACCTGCGTTGCATGCTTCGAAGGAACTGTCTCTGAGAAGTTGAAATGTCTGACCTGTCAGAGTTCCAAAGAGGAATGATAGTTGGAGCGCGTTTAAGTGGAGTATCGGTTACAGAAATAGCAAACCTTGTGGGGTGTGCAAGGAGTATGGTATGAGCCATTATGACAGCATGCACGAAAGAGGGTAAGACGACGTCTTCAAAGCACAACAGTGGCCGAAAGTCAAAGCTGGCTGATAGGGATAGATGGGTCTTGAAGCGCATAGTAGCCCAAAAGCACAGGCAATCGTTGTCCGAGATAACATCCGAAATGAACAGTCATCTCCAGGACTCCGTTTCAATAAAAACTGTCAAAAGTGAACTTCATGCTGCGAACATTTATGGCAGAGTTAGCAATTCGTAAACCCTTGGTCACAGCAACTAATGTTTTTCAAGCAATGCCAAAGTTGCAGAGATCACAAAGCCTGGCTCCGAAGCAGTGGCAACAGGTAATATGGTCAGATGAATCGTCATCCACCCTATTTTCAGACAACCAGACACGTTTATGTCTGGAGAATGCTCAAAGAAGCGTTTCATCCTGACTACCGACTGTGAAGCATGGGGGTGGCGCTGTTATGTTATGGGGTGCGCTATCTTGGGCCACTTGTTATTCTGCATAAAAGGGTCACATCCAATCACTATATAAGGATTCTGTGGGATCATGTCCGGACTGTATTTCCTGGGGAACGACAACTTTTTCAAGACTACAACGTCCCTATCCACACCGCTAGGTGTACCTTGATATATACTTCATTAAGTATATATCAAGGTTCAAAGAGCATGACGATGCAATTGAACATCTGGCTTGGCCCGCTCAGTCTCCGGACTTGAATATTATTGAACATTTATGGGCATATTTGGAGTCCAAACTTTGTTCCCGATTTCCACCTCCATCCGGACTGTCGGAATTAGAGACCGGTCGGTCTGCAGGAGAAATGGCTTAATATTCCTTTAACCCATTAGCTGCTGGTGTTGCGTTGATGCAACGGTCAAAATAAATGCGTATATAAATATAATTACCTAAGATATTTTATATACCAGCAGATGATTTTGTATAGGGAATATTATGAAGATTATTTCTGTAAAAAAATATTTGCCTTCAACAATCATTTTGTTTATAATAATTAATCTCGTACTTTAAGCAAAATTTTCGCCTGGGTATTTTTGCTGAAAATATTTAACGAAAGAATCGCCGTCTTTATGAGTGATCTACTTTTAGTCAAGGTCACAGTTTATCAGAACATTACATCAGTCACATGTTTATATTTGTGTTGGGAAGGAAGGGAAAACAGGTGTTGTGCTGACACAATGTCAGCGGGAAACGGGTAGTCAATCGCCTTTTTCACTCATTCTTTTCGATGTTCTGGTTTATGATGTTATGGTTGTTTAAAAATGCCTAGAACAAAGTATCTTACATTAGAAGAAGCTCTTCAAAGATTTTTTGATGAAGAAACAGATGATGATAATGTTAATAATGACCAAAATGAAACTGATATTGTTGTTGTTCCCCCAGAAATTGCAGAATCTAGTGACGAAGAAGAAAGGAATGGCAATGTTTTAAATAATGATAATGTTATTTTACCAAATGATACTGCTGGGGAAGTTGAAATTCATGTAAGAAGTAAGTTTCAGCCTTCTAAAAGCAGTTATAGTCATACTAAAAAGTTTAAACAGCAGAAGACTGAAATCTTGAAGTGGATAAAAAAGGAATTGTTAGTTATGTCTCAGGAAGAACATGAAGAAAGGGATAGAAGAGATATTATAAAACACAAAAAAACAAGGTAAAACTAGTGCACAGATTTTCGTTTTGGTTTAGACATTACTCTCTTCTCGTTGAACAGATAAATATATACGCTCGGGGGAAAAAAAAAGCTCCCAGAATTTATTGCATCTGAAGCCTATATGAGAAGATTTATTAGAATATTAATGCTTACAGGATAAATATTAAGCTTTTTTTTGTAAATTTCTGATACCCTTTAGAACATAATTGTTCTTTATTTCATAAATTACGATTTCATATTTTTAATTGTATAATTTCTGCATGTCATCTTACCAGATTTAAATTGATGACCTATTATTCGGAATTGAAGTCCCGACGAGTCCGGATTTCGGACTTTGTACTGTATATATAAAAATTGAGTCGGATATTCCTACAACATACATGTGTATCTGGTCTTAAGTTTTTTTTTTTTTTTTTTTTTGCACTTGGTATATACTAGCTTATAATCTAAAATATTTTGCTTGCTTACTTCCTTTGATAATTTAAATATCATCTTAATGGATTGAAGTTTCATGAAAACAGACAAATTTAGTTGATAAATTCTGTTCTAAATACAGATCTTCAAGAGCAGATCCAAAAAACTGTGCCTCTCAGAGTGTTCATAGTAGTTAATTTTATGGTTTAAAGGAGAAAAAATGGAGGTGGTCATTGAATACGGAAATAGCAAAATAAAAATTGAGATGAAAGTGCTTTTTAAAGATATTTTTGAATGTAATCTTTTTTTTTTTTTTTTTTTTTTCTGTTTTAGTTTTTTCCCAATGGATATGCATTTGCAACTGGGTCAGATGATGCAACATGTAGGTTATTTGATATAAGAGCAGATCAAGAATTGGCAATGTATTCACATGATAATATTATCTGTGGAATTACATCTGTAGCCTTCTCCAAGAGTGGGAGGTTGCTTCTTGCTGGCTATGATGATTTTAATTGTAATGTATGGGATTCTATGAAAGCTGAGCGTGCAGGTAAATTTCTTTCTAATCAAATATAAAATATTATACAGAATAACAGCCTTGATTGCTACAGCAATGCTGGGCATGTATCCACATTTTACAAAATTTTGTTTTTATGAAAAACCTAAATTAATAACCGTTCCAATTAACAAAAGAAATCGGAAGCCAATAGCCTCTTCCCGATGTGTTTTGCGAGAAGGAAGAGGAAAAGTGAATATGGTGCATTGTTTATACGATATCTGCAGAAGTATATGATGCATTATTATTAAGCAATAGACGGCATTTTAATTGGTTGTTGCCAGGGCTGTGGAGTCGATAGGGAAAATGACAGACTCCGACTTCCTCATATATATATATATATATATATATATATTACATATGTAAACATATACACATGAGTTACAGCTGCTTATTTTTTTAATATAAAAGGAGTAATAGATGATACAGAAAAAAAAAATTGATGGCATAGCAAATTATTTATATTAAATAGTATTAGTTATTTCTAAGAAACAGTACAGTTTGGCAAGATCTTCTTTGGAGGGCCATAAGATACGATTTGTTCTAAAAGTTTTAACAGAGGTGTCTTGCAGGCGTAATTATATTTTCCTATTTCTTCAAAGGCTGTGTAGAAATCTTTTTATTTTTTCATTTTTATATCTAAAGACTCTTGGTTCTTTATTATCATTCGCTTTGCCTTAGCCTTTTCAATATTATCCCAAAATATTTCTCAAAATCTAATGAATCACTGGAAGAGGATGATACAGACTCAAATGTAATGTCTGCAGTCCTGATTAACTGTCCTGATTTGAATTCTCTAATTGTTCTGAGAATAATTTCATTCTTAATGAAAGTTCATGGATGGCTTTCTTTGTCTTTTTAATTTGTTCGTGATCCAAGAAAATTCAGTGTTTCAGATCTACATATACTGAACACAGCAAGAATGGCATCAATTTTGGGAGTTCTTGCTGCTGCTATTGCTGCTTACCTAAATTTACCGGTGAGATTTGTAACTAAATGAATCAATTTAATAACTAATGGCAAATATCACACCCATCTTCCGCCCTTATATTTATTAATATGTCAATAAAAAATAAAATATCTATTTATTAATGTATATAGTCCATAAATAAAAATAACTCAGCTTCTCAATTTTTTTCAATTCATTTAAATTTCATTTCAAATTCAAACTGTCCAACAAAAACTGGAGTCAGATTCGACCTGTTTTTAGCGACTCCAGCTCCGACTCCTTTTACCCCAAAAGCTGCCCGACTCAGACTCCACAGCCCTGATTGTGCAAGTACAGCTAAATAAATGAATATGTTTCTGAAATATTTAATAACTGCTATATAGCATTTTGTTTATTTTTTGTTCCTTAATTTTTTAGCTTTTTGTACTTAAAAAACGTAATAAAATTTTGTAAAAAGTTTTGTTTTTATACCATAGTTCACTGGTTGCCAAACTTACGAAGCTTCTGAGCTACTGCACTGATTTTAAATCTTAGTATGAGCTACCAACCAAAAGAACTACCAGTTTAAAAAAAAAGTTGCATTTTTGTCTATAAACTTACGTTTCTAGTAAATATAAAATCAATTTTAATTAAACTGTATATAACAAAAAGAAACAGAAATTGAGTTGTACATAAGAAATTGAAGTGGAGTTAGTTTTATTTTACAAATACCAGTTATATTTTACAAATACCAAACACATTAGCACTTAAGCCATTAGTTCACGGGCTCTCCAGTATGTTTTAACAATGTCCTCATACCGAGAAAGTGAATACAATTATTTAAATGTTCAAAAATCATAAACTGACTGGTATCATACAAAATACTGTTTGGGGAATCCACCACTCCAATTCTGTAGAGATGGTTTAGAAAACAATAATGGCTGGTCAGACGTATAAATAGAGCTACTACTGTCTTTCTTGGAAAAATGGGAATAAAAGTTGTCTCTTTCCCCAGAATCCTTCAACTCTTATCCATAGCACGTTCAATCATATCCTGCTTAAGAAATTTCTTTTAAGAGTCAGGTTAATAAATCATATGAAATGAAAGTGGTCGATTGATGCATTGCATTGTGAAAGTTCCTTTCTTATCCAAGCCTTTTCATTTCTCATAATTCTACAGTGGGCTGGAATCCGATGAAAAGAAATTCTGTGTGCCATTGCCTTAAGCAAAGGCCTACAGTCTAAGATTCTTTGGGAACTATTTTGATTATTCAGAAGAGCTTGTAGCACACTTTTGGAATCTGACAATATGAGTGCCTTGCCTTTACAAAAGAGTGGCTACGAATCAACAATTGTTGAATAGTCTCAGCAATAGCTTCAATTTCACCATCAAAGGCAGTAGTAAGAGAGCCCATTCATTGGTAAGTAGAAACTGAAAAGCTCGTTATGGATACCAGCTCCAAACATAGAGCTGTCAGTGTAGACATGCAAACACTCATTTTGAGGATAGTGAACCTCAATAGTTTCAGTTGCAATAGATCTTAATTGTGAATCACTCATTTTGTTTTTAACAACTCTTTGAATAAGATCAAGATTTGTATTCAAATTCAAAAAGTCTAAGGGACAATGGGAAGGCAGTAAAATTAGATACGCATTCTTTCTGAGCAGCCTGTATAAAGCCAAGATGTGTTTTAAGATTCCTAGAAATTTCCTTATTATAGTTTCTCCAAAAAGAATTGTCAGTCAAACGCACCAGCTTCTGGTATAATAGGATCACTTTTCTCTTAATAATACAATCACGAATGGTTAAAAGCTGCATTGCAAGAATCCTGTATCTCATTGCCCCAGTAATTATGCATAACGCTTGGTTCTGGAAGACTTTAAGGATCTGGACTACATTCTCTGGAGCCGAGATAAGGATCTCGCTAGAATGACCAATAATTGGTTGAATGTATAATTTGTAAATAGTCTTTAATGTCTTTTTCTGTCACAGCCCTACCTTGAGCCAGCTAAACTTTTTAAGACGGAGCATCTTCTTATGGCTTTATTTTTCAAATGTTCTGCATGTTTCTTTCAATTTAAGCGTGTATTGAGGATCCAGCCCAAATATTTTGGCGAATATGGCGCATGCTCTAATCCTGATTTTTTAAGTGAGTTTCAAAGTTCCCATTCCTCCCAACTGATGCACTTACATAGCGTAGTAAAACACACACATTTACCCTTAATCTGGTGAAAAGTAATTAGTATCCGATTCTGAATGAAAGTGATAAGTTTTTTTGCTTTTTAACACGGCATCATTAGAACAGACCTGACTTAGTACCAATGCATAAATAAAACTATCCAAATTAGGAAATGTACACACATGAAAAACATAATTTGCACAACCTTACACGCATGCAGTCAACTATGAGATGAGGCTGACAGTGGCAGTTGCATGAGAAAAACAAGCAGTTGTTGTCGTGCGCCTCGCCTGTTGTCCGTGTTACCTCAGTGGAGGAATCAAGGCTAGCCAACCGGAGTTTTAACATGATCTATTGGAAATGTCCCTGTGAGCTAATGAAAATATCCTTGCAAGTTGCTCGACGTTTTGGTGATCACTGCCATAGATATTACATTTATAATGAAACTGTGATATTCAAAATAGGTGTACTAGCTTTCCATTATTTAAAACCTCTTCTGTTCATAAAATTATTAGAGACATATTGACAAAATTTGTAGTTTTCTGTTAAATTTGAAAACTGATTTAACTTTAAAATACTGGAAATCAGGGTTTGTAGCGGTCCTTACAAGTGCTTATAAGTCCTTATATTTGAAAATAAAATATAAAGGCCCTTAAAGGTGCTTACTTTTTCTTTAAATCCCTTATTTTTTTTTTTTTTTTTTTTTTTTTTTTTTTTTTGTTTTTTAGTGCTTATTTTTTGCTTTTAGTGCTTTTTTTAGTGAACGTGCATTTTCCCCTAGTACCAAAGCCGAAACTAAATAAACAACTTTTCTTTCTTATATGCAATGTCAGATGGTGAATCATACTCCCGGAACTTGCTTTTTCCCCTTTCTCTGCATTACCGTAACCTATGGTGCGCACGAGAGTACAGACAGGTGCACGTCGTTCTATTGGTAAAAGAATTGCAAAAATGGTAGAAAATTCCGGTACATTCAGTATTCTTTTCCTCTCACCCAAATACTACACACGTTTGAATTTCTATCAAGATTTTAATAATTTACATTCTCGTTCCGCATGGTCAGTTCATATTCGTCTTTATTATGATCGTTATGCTTACATTATGAGCATATGTATGAATATTTATAATAATATAGTTGCAGTAGCTGCTGAAGTGTAGATAAACTTCCAAAAATGGGTTTATTTTTACACAGATTAGCTTTCTAAGGAATAATATTCAGGATGGTTTAAATAAAAGGAAAGTAATCGAATAGTCAAAATAATCCCCCCCCCATACATTATACAGTATGGAGGTTCTCCCCTTTCTCCGCAAAATCTCTAATATTGAAGCAGCGGACTTTTTTTTTTTTTTTTTTTTTTTTTTGTCACTGTCCAATCTGGATTGAATAGGACTAAAAGTTTTACGGTCTACCCAACTCAAGCGAAGAATTATTCTATTCTGGAAATTTAAGGATCTGTTCAAAATTAGAATCCAAAACACCCCAGATAAGTAAGTCTCTTTCTTTTCCTTTATTTAGTTCTTTATTCTATGAATACGTACAGCTGTTGATTCCGATTGTGTAATATCACGTATGGAAGAATTACGCCACACGTATTGCTCAATAACGTTTGCGGTATTTTGCAGAGATAATTAATTTTGATGTTCAGTCTGAGATTTATTTATGAACACTTAAAAGAGTTTTACTGTTCTTTCTAAGCAGAATGTTTCTCAGTTCTGTTGGTCTATTTTTTTATGATGCACATATCGAAATGTCAAAATCATTTATTTAGCCAAAAGCAATCTAAAGAACGGCTACAATCTCCCCTCCTCCTCTTTTTCCAGTTAACGGAATATTCGGCAATTTCCGAGTATGCGGGTTAGTTAAGCTTTTACTGTTAAAGGATGACTGCATGAAGCAATTTCCAGTCTCCTGATTTCAGAAATGTTCCTCTTTTTTACTTAAATTACTTTGGTTGGAATATATGTTAAGGGAAAACTGTTATGCAATGAAAATTTAGAAAAATGTTCAGAATTTTGATTTAAGTTAAATATTTAAATATTAATATGAGTGGAAAAATTAGGTGCCAAGCGAATACAATTAATATGGCTTATTTTTGCTATAATTATTTATTTTCTATATTTTGAACTGAAATTTTTATCATTAAATCTTGTAATATAGTTTAGTTCTGCATAGTTTTTTTTTTCTCTCATTGTAAACTAATTCTGTAAATTGAACTGTCATTTAAAATTTTTTAAAAAAAAAAGTTAATTGTTTTCCATGGTTGAGGTAATGCTCATTCTCTTAATAAATATTGCATTGCTCATATTTTAAATTGCAAGTCTAATTTTTCTTTTAAGGTTATGCAGTTGTGTATAATGTAATTAGAAAGATGCTTATTTTTTTCTTAAAATGTGCTTGAAAAGTGCTTATAGGTGCTTATTTTTTAACTGAAATGTGGCTATGAACCCTGAATACTACTACTATAAAAAGGCTTCATAAAAACATATTCTCTCCTACTCCATTTAACTTAAAACATATTCGTCTTTTGTAGTAAAGACAATTGCCACTTTAAAGCTTTCATTTCTACTTTCTATATGAAAGAAATTTTGGATATTTGAATTAAATGAATTTATTGCACATCAGACAAAATATTTTATGTGAACAATTTTGGCCGGAATTGTGGATCCTGTAATTTAGGGATTTTTAACCTTGGGTGTAAAATAGAATTTCAGGGGGTATAATAAAATGTTGCTTGTATTTTTTCTTTGATGACAGCATGGTTTACCCAAGTCATATAGTATACATTTAGAGAGAAATACAGTTCACAGTTATTGCTATTACATGGAGCTGGCATGTTCATTGGGCCCATGTTTGTAAGTGTATAATGTCTGTAGCATGGGGGTCATGAGATAGCTAAATGACCAAAGCATTTTGGTTGCTTACAACAGATTGACTAAGTTGCAAGCAACTGGTCATTTGAAACGACTATTATAGGGAGTAAAACATTCTTGTAACTCTTATGTAATTATTGTAAATTACTTTATGTAACATTTATGTGAAATCTAAATTATAAGATTTTATCGGTTCTGTAAATTTTTGCTATGCTGATAACTTTTTTTAAAAGTTTCTAGTAGCAAATAAAGTTAAGTGTAATAAAGTTTTATAAGCATGCCTTTCAAAATTACTTTTCAGATCCTATGTCTGGAGAATGAAAGTGAATTTTTTATTTGTAAAATTTTCAAAGTGAGAAATTGTTTCTTAACCTTCCAGCATGCGCACTTGGCAATTTTACATGAGCAAGTGCACGTCATATTTTTTACGACATCCATTATTTTGCCGTTTTGAGCAGGAAAAACGACAGAAATGAGTGAATATTGATAATAAATTTGTTAAGAAATAAAATATTAACCTTATTATGCAAATAATAAAATAAATATAAAATGCAAATGATATCACATTTATAAAATGCAAATGATATCACATTCAAATGTAAGTAAATTAGTTTTAAGTTCGTATGTTAGTGAGAGGGAAATGCAATGATGTATTTCATTATAGAAAATTTTAAATTTATTATTTAATAATTATATTTTAAAATCGAAGCTAATTTTAATATTCATCACAGGCAAGTATAGACAAATAAAAAAGGAAAGCACACTCACCTTGGTAGCAAAAAAAATAAAATAAAATAAAAATAAAAAATAAGTTTAGCATTACTTACTTCTTGAAGGAAATTTCTTCTTACTGGTTACAAAAATGCACTTTAAACTAACTTTAATATTTTTAGTTATTTCTAAAAAATAGAAATAAAAGAAAATACGGAATGGAAATCGTTATCGTTCTCCCATCGAAAGGTTTCCTTGTCTTTCTTTTCTTCATCAGGTAATTCTTGAAGATTGCGAGAAAAACAGCTGGTTGCCCATATTTTTTTCCCATGAAAACCGATATAAAAATTACAGAGCCAAATGTATACAAATTAAAATAATACATAGCAATTAATAACACAAAATTACAAAATATTTTCCGAATCTTCACCCACGACCACACGTGTGTCGTAACTTTTATGAAAAAGCTGCCATGTAGCACAAAAACCCAGTTTAAAAAAAAAAAAAAAAAAAAAAAAAAAAAGTCAAATGATTTCCTGGTTGACACATTCCATGATGTGGAGAAAGGTAGAAAGGAGGAATAGAAGTGACTTTCAGATGTCTCAGCTTCGATATGCGAAAAATGGGCATTAAAAATAGAATTTGTCGTAAATTTTGCATATACACACATGCTGAAAGGTTAAATCTTAATTTAAATTTAAGATTCAGTATTTGTAATTCTTAATGGTTCACGCATTGAAATTATTCAACATGACTACTGCCTTTTCATGTTTGAATTGAATAAATATTACTAGATTTCATATGGCAGTCCTGTCTAAAGTGAGGAGTACATAAATTCAGAGCCAATATTAAAGACATTAAATTTTATTTTTTGAGCGTCAAGCTTACTGTTATTACTTTTATGTTATTTGCAAACTGTTACTGTTTTTTCATTAATGTTTACAAGTAATAAATTTATAATTTTCAGGAGTTCTTGCTGGTCATGACAATAGAGTAAGTTGTCTTGGAGTTACTGAAGATGGCATGGCAGTTGCCACTGGATCCTGGGACAGCTTCCTCAAAATATGGAATTGATGCTGAAAACAAAACATATTTCTTGGACCAGTTATTTGTTGTTTACACATGAACACAGTAGTGTTGCTTCCTGGCCTTCTTTTGTAACTTTACATCTAGCACATCTTGGGCCTAAATCTGTGTTGTGAAGAATTTTCCATTCGTATGTGTGATTTGGCGTTCATATTCAGACGTGCATGTTTATATCTATATCTGTGAGTGAATGATCTAAAACAGCAACAAATAAAATTTCTCTATGGGAGGCCCTTTTTAATTTTCCTCATGCTGAATTTACAGCTCTGTCTAGTCATACTCTGTTGCAAACTGCCTGAAGCACAGTGGCTGAGTGCACGGTGCTTATTGTCTTTTGCTTGCATAGTATTCACTTGACAGTCATATAACTTATTGCCTAAATATGCTGTACATTAACTGTAGTTGATTAGGAAATAAAAATTCTGCATCTGGATTTACTCTTTCCCATATTAAGAATTTTAAAGTAATGGGTAATGTGTTGGCTGATCGGAAGGATCAGTTATTAGAGCCCCGACTGGTCCTTTGTTCACCTAACACACAAGTGTCCTTCAGGGAAAGACTGAATCTATGTGTAGGATGCATGTCTTTTTAATTTTGGGATTGGAGTTCAATTGGGAATATAGACATGCATCATTTATGTCAAATTTTATTCCAGGCTTTAAATGAATGTATTGTATTCTTATTTGTGAAACCAATTATGTTTCTAAGTGCTAGATGTGGATTCCATTTGTAAATAATGTGAATTCGTTATTTGTGGTCTTAATCACACGAATAATCTAGATCTTGACTATTTAACTTGAAAGTTGTTGCCTGATATTAAAAGGCAGATCCCTACAGCACAGTTTCACTTCTCTTGGGACCATTAAGATGATGTGGAACTCGCCCAATTAAACACTGCTGAAGTAAAATCCAAGTTGGACTTCAACTTGCAGACCGCGATGTCTGTAACTGCCAATGCAGTGGTAAGAAAGTTTACATATTGAGCTAGACAAACAAGATATGGTTATACAAGGAACTTTTAGATGCTTCAATGATGTAAAAGTTAATCTTTTACATACCTACTATTTATAGTCTGGCTCTGAATGCTTTTATGTTAACTTTTATTATCGAAGCATAGTGACAGTGTCATTTGCAAACATGAAAAATCACCTGAAGCAGTTTTTGCAAATCCCAAAGTAGTAGTTTTGTAATATTAACTATAAAAACACTCTCAAATACATCTAACAAGGTGAATGTATAACTCTGTTGACTCTGGCCTCCATGATCAGGAGTGAAGAGGAAATTTTTTTCAAGATAAAAAAAAAACTGCAGATCTTGCGAATTTCATAAAGAAAGGCTCTGTGCCATAGGTCTTGAGCCTGCCATTCTTCGGTATAGTTAAACTTTGATCACAGCCTTAATCTTATTTACTATACTTTTGGTACATATGTAATTTCCATTGTGACTGCACTTTTCAAGAAATCAACCACAATATGATGGTGTTACTTTCCTGGCTGCTCTTATTATAAAAATAAAAATTATCTATCTGCTTTTTTTTCTTAATAATGGGAAAGGAACTACTTTGTAGGCTCCTGTGTTCATTCATATAAGTAGATGTAGTAAAACTGTAGCAGCCATTGTCAGTTTTAAGTTTTACTTAATTGTTTTGTTCTTGTTGTTGCTCCCATTAGCCAGTTAGCAAATAGCTCAGAGCATGCAAATTCTTGTGTGTATAGTATAAATCCCCCTGGTGTCATTTTGAAGCTCTCGATGAGAGCAGCCCTCAGAAACACTGTTCTCTAATATCGGAAACTGTATTTCCTTATTCATGCATATTGGAATCTTCCTCTGTACAAATGAGCTGTGCATGTCAGCTTTATTTTATTTTCGCCATTGTCAGTGTGAGAGTCAAATTTGAGTCTAGTTGTGTTTTGTCAGTTACAAAATCGTATGTAATTTAAATTGGTGAATAAAGCTGTTTATCTTTACATGACGAGTCATTAATTGATTGTGTTATTACTTGCAGTTTTGTAACTAGAGCCTGTGTTATAGTTCATCTTAAAAATCAACTTTCAGGTACTTGTGCTTATTTTAGTTGTCTTAAAATTTGATTCAACGAGTAAATAGTAAAAAATTTTATTTGCGAATGTAATTATTATCAGTATGTATTCATTTTTTGCCTCATCGTGAACCTAATGATGTTTCTGAGAAGCTGCTTGTGTGCAACATATTTATATTATCAGCTTAAAGACATAATCTTTTTCTCTCACAGATTTTAAAGCAATAGAATTGTATTAAAAGTATCCATCTCTCTCTATATATATTTTTAATTAAAGTTTTAGAAGATATTTTTTCATGTTTTTCATCAAATAAATTTAACACAATCCTAAATTAAAAATATGCATTTTAAAAGATAATAATTTCATGAATATAAACTTTTGAAATAGTGTGATGAATGTAATATATTTACACTTTGATACATATTCTGCAAGTATCTCCTGGCTACTGTTTTTGAGCAGTATTAGATCTAAGTCCATCAAAAGTGTAATTGTAGATTTTTGGGTTTTCCAGTTACATCGTTAATAATATGACCAAACACATCTAACTTTGGTTTCTAGTGTAATCAGGCTGAGTGTTCAATAATTTTTTTTTCTGAACTATACCAGTAATAAGAATACTAAATTTAATTATATGATGCCTTTTTTTTTTATCCTACAAAATTGGTCATTTCATTAATTTGTTGTATTGAATATTTAGAACTTTCAGCTTTGTTTTGTAGGGCTTGTCGTCTTGTTTATTTGTATAAGTGTCTGAGGTATGTACTCAGTTCCAGACACGAACACTTGAATCCCATGAACCTGTAACTAGAGCCATTCCGTTATCTGGCATGCTTAAGGAAGTTATTCTATTCTCGTGTCCTGTGAGACATCCTGTAAGAGATCAGAAATTTATTATTAGACATGTTGAATTGGATATGAAGATTAGAGAATGGAATGAAAAGTCAAAAAAAAAAAAAAAAAAAAAAAAAGACTATTGTAAAATATTTTAAATATAAGGGTCGTTCTAAAATTTTTTAGATACACACGTTTTTAAAGTTATACTTACAAAATTTTAGGGGTGTTCAAAGCAATTATCCTCTAGTATTAGTGAACTTCTGTAGGTGAATTTTCCAAAGATTAAATACCTCAAGCCATTAATTTCTTGTTATGGATAAAAAAGAATGCATTTATAACCTCATTAGTCTCATTTTAGGAATGTATATGACATTCACGTAAATTCGTTTTTAGATTTAAAAATAGCCAAAAGTCCGCACGTAGCTAGGGTAAATGTTCTATCGCTTTGTGTGTGTGTTTTTTTCCAAGAAACTGTCAATTTTGTTGAATGACAAAATGCATTTCATGGTGTAGCATGAGTCCTCTAACATTCACTTCTTGAAGAATTTCTGGAAGACACTTAGCATTGTACCAGTTCACTGTATACAGTCTTCTGTCCTTCTAGCTTGATGGCTTTGAACAGTCCTGTACATAAGAAAATGGCATACATTACTGTTTTCATAGCATAGGGGGCGTGGGATCATTTTCAAAGACCTGGACTTAACCTTCTTAATAACAATGTCAAAAAATAGTATGTAAAGTATTTACGCGAATCTAATGCGCATCGTTTTTGGCCAAATGTAGTACTCAAAATTGGGGTGCGCATTAGATTCGAGTGCAAAGTTCGCCGATGAACGTCAGCAGTTCGCCGATGACGTCAACCGAATTTAAATCGTAACAATGGATTACTGTATTTCTCGACTACATTTACCATTACATTTATGGTTGACACATTGTTGCACAGAGGATACAAACTGCAGAGTACATAGTCACGAATGGAGGGCAAGCAGAGAAGAATGTCATATGACGCTACTTTCAAACATAAAGTAATTCTTTATCCTGAAAGAAATGGCAATAGAAAGGCTGGGAGAGAGTTAAACGTAGCTGAGAGCAATGTTCGCTTGTGGCGGCAACAGAAATTGGCACTGTTTGCAACTAAAACTAGTAGAAAGAAATTCGCTGGCCCTCGCAAAGGAAGACACTCTAAAATTGAAGAAAATGTTTTGGAATTTATACGTGAAAGGAGGATGAATGGACAACTTGTGACTAGGGACACTATAAGAAATAAAGCAAAAGAGGAGGCTGAAGTTCTTGGAATACCGAAACCAGAGTTTAAAGCTAGCCGTGGATGGGTGGATCGGTTTATGAAGCGGATGGGCTCTAAGACGCCGTACAACAATATGCCAAAAGCTTCCTGCAGATTTTGAGGGAAAACTACTAACATTTTAGCGGTATGTCATCACACTTCAGAAGGAAAAGAATTTTTCAATGGGGCAAATTGACATCGCTGACGAGATGCCAATTTGGTTTGATATGCCTCGTAACTACACCATTATGGAGAAGGGGACTAAAAATGTTATCATCAAAATAGTGAATAAAGACGTTTACTATTAATCACTGATTGTAGAAACTGTTAGCTAGATAGAAATGTTACGATTTATTTCATGTTCATACTTTACGATATGTACCATATACGGTAGTGGTAATTAACAATGATTGTTTCACATAACAGTAGCCCACTAATAGGTTAATTCTATGTTCTGCTACTTTATGTATAAATCTATTGTTGTATAAAATATGGTATCTAAATTTAAATAAAATTATCATACCATTGATTGATAGTTTATATACAAATCTATTGTTGTATAAAATAAGATTCAATAAATTCCTCATACCATTGATGCGCATTACATTCGCCGACAAACAATTTTTTTATTATTTAAAGTTTTAAAATGGGGATGCGCATTAGATTCGATGGCGCATTAGATTCGCATAAATACGGTATGTTTCATCACCAGTTATGATTTTAGAGATAATGCAGTGGCCACAGTCTTTAAGTATTTTAAGGGTTTCTTTACTGATTCTGGCGTGCTTCTGTTTTTGGTGCTTAGTTAAATTATGGGGAACACAATGGCAGACTTAATTTTTTCATACGTAGTTCTTCATGAATAATATTACATATGGTAATGGATCCAATGTTAAGTTCCTTCTGTATCATTTGCTAGGTGCAGCGATTATCATAGATTATTTTCTGTATGGTAGACACAGTATCTGCGATTACTGCCTCAGTGGCCTTCCTGTGTGTTCTTCATCCTGAAGAAAGTTGCGACCTCTGTGAAATTTTGTAAACTGTCTGAATACAGTAGCACAAGATGGACCTTCATTTCCAAATACTAATTGTAGATGTTGAATGCATACTTCTTGATTTAATCTCACTCTTAAGATCATAGAAAATCAAAGCATGATAATGTTCTCCTGTTAACTCCATTTTTCCTTCTGCCTAAAATTTATTGTATGCTAAACTACTTGACCAGTAAAAAATTCTCTGCTAGGCTTAAAATAGTTTCAAATCTGTTTTTTTCTGGCTCTTATTGTCTGCATGTATCTGAAAAATTTCAGAGTGACCTCTGTATTTGCTTGATGATTTTGCTAAAAAGTTATTAAAGGATAGAGCTATTTAGTAATATTAGAGAATATATATTTGCAAAATTCAGATTTTTTTTAAATTAAAAATAATGTGAATTGTAAAGAGAAGACTCGCTTATATCTGAATGTTGTGAAACGATATGTAAACACACATCATAAAGTATGGGAGAATAGACAATTTATTTTAATATGTAGCGTTCTGAGCTCTGCTGAAAAGGAAATTGAATATTGAGCTTGTTTAAAATTTCATATTTGCCATGCGTAAAAGACACAAAACATAACATGAAGAAGCTGTTTTAAAAATGAGAAAAGGAGAATCAGATAATTTTCATGTTAATTTCCCCCAAAATAACATTGTAATAACATTTTGTATAAATTTACAATTTGTCATCATAACCTAACTGGTTGTAAAGTTCCCAAAATTTTGGTAATTTGCGACAAAAAGGGGCAGAAATTGTTATGATATAATAAAAAGGAGGGATTTGAATAGTTACCTAAATATCTTCCTAGATTATGTGCTTAAAATAGATTTAGGGACAGCAAAGTCAGTCGTGCAGTTTGGCAATTTAGGTAATCAAGATAGTCAGTTAGCATAATTTTCGGCAGCCAACCAAAAATCTGCAGATTTTGTAAAAAAATGAATTTAGTGCATCAAATTATAAAAGTGGAATCGTTTTCATAAAAAGGGAGAGAACTTTTAAAATTCATTGTTTTTTTATATGTAGAATGTTGGAGAGGCCAGCCGCCTTATTTCTTAAACTAATCATTGCAAAAATTCAACTTTTGCCTTATTGGATATCATGCAAAATAACATTCCAGGTGAAGTTTTTTGGAATCTCTCAATATGATTTTATTAATTTTTGATGATCCTCCCTTCCCAAATCACTGATGTTACTGCTACCAATATGCTCAAGATACTGGAATTTCTAGGATGAGAAATTTCTTGTGTGGCAGCTCTTTGAAGGGTGTTTTGTTAAAGGGTGTGTTTGAAGGATACAAATCAAAAGATCTTGCTGGCTAGTGTATTTATACTTCATTTTCAGGGAATTCATTAACAAGATTTGCTCTATGTTATTAACAGCCTTCGATTTTAACTGATGATGGAATCAAATATGTAAATCAAAGAGGAATTTAATATAATTGTGTACCATCAGATGGATTAGAAAATCTTGAAAGGTGACATCACGTATTTCATTTATTATGCTGATTGAAATGATTCTTCTAGCATTCAGAGGCAGTGATGGTCCTTCTGTACTAAATTTTACCTCCTATATGGACTAAAAAGTATAAAAATCAAACTTTTATTAAAATTGCATGTAAATGCTCTAAAAATAATTGTTCTAGTAGTCCTAGTAATGAAGAAAAGTGTTCAGAGTTAATTCACTTTCAATAAAAAGACAATCTCAGAAATGTTTTTTAATATCATTTAAAAAGAAGTTGAAGGAGTTATGGAAAGGGAGAAAGACACTTGCAGTTGAGACATTCTGCAATCTAGCAAATTCTGCAAATCAGAATTCTAGAAATTCTACACACATAGTGAGCTAGAGAAAAATCCAAAGCAGTTTCAGAGAGTATAAAAATAATTGATATCAATGACCGTATTATGAATGTTCCCAAGGGTGTAGCTAGAGTTTCCAGCGCCCGGGAATAACTGAAGAATTTGTGCCCCTTTCTGTGTGCCAAGAATGGAAAACATTTCATTAAAAAATTTTGCAGCATCAATTAGGTGCCTCTTGGATGCTGCGCCCAGGCACAGATGTCCCCCCTTGCCCCACCCTAGTTACGCCACTGAATGTTCCTTTGAATATAACAATATAGCTATTTATATGGAGCAGTTACATATTGTGGATATCATCAAGGAGAACTAGATGTGAGCAAAAGGTAATTTTGGAATGCATAATATGTTGGAGTAGCATTTCGTAGATGTTTTTCTGTGGAACCTTGGAGTTTTATGAATTGAAATTAGAGTTTTCCACGAGAAATAATGTTTAAAAGTTATAGGTATTTATATCATCAAAAATATTATATATTTATATTGTATTTAAGTATTTACTAGTATTTAAAATGCTAGAAATACTATTTCAAGAGAGAATATTTGAGTTGGGTTGCTCGTACAGCTTGTGTACCATATTACATATACACAATTGATTGCTGAGCAAAATGTTTTTCATTGGACAGCATTTTAATCAATTTGTGGTCCATAAGCCTGTGGGCTTAGCAATAAATAATTGAATTTGGGCATTTCCGCTTCACAAGTGCAAATAATTCAAGTGACAGAAAATGTTGCTACTCTGTCATATACTTGAGCTGCAAGTTTCTTCTCGCACTGGAAATTTTCAAGCATTATAAAAATACGTTTACCTAAACCATTTTCAAAGTGATTGCAACATCCATAATGCTAAGAAATCTTT